CATATTATTCCCTCCGGTCCGCTAATGTGTTATTTCACCAACACTTCGTGGCCTTTGCACACTAGCTTGCTTGATTTACGTTAGCTACGCGCATTTACGCGTTACGTTAAGTGTTTCCGCGCGAGGTGCTTTGTGTTGTACGTTGCCATGACGACACAAAACTACAAAGGAACCTCAACGTTTGTGTTTCGACACTACAAATGTGTTCCTACATTAAGTGCTTGAATTTGAGGCTATTGGACCTGGAAAGTTCGTGAAAGGTCCTTGAGTTTGAAGTTAACCGAGGTGTGGGAACCCTGGGTAATGCTTTCTCTTGGTTCATCTCAGTCTGAATTCATTTTGATATATAAGTCGCACCGTATTATAAGTCGCAGGACCAGCCAAACTATGAAAAAAAAGTGCGACTTATAGTTCGGAAAATACGGTAGTTATTCTCAGATGCGTTTGCCGCTGATTCTCTGCCGGCTGCTGTGAAACGGAGCCGGTTCTGTAATGTAAAATGCTTTGCGGTTTCATGTAAGAACGATGTCCCTGAACTTACTGAAATGCACAGAAATCCCCTGTTGGTTCATATAGCTCATGTTGTACAGTAACCTTTAGTGAAGGGTCGATTACTGACACTCTTAAACTCTACTCAAACAAACGTGCCTCTCTGTCTCCTCTGTCTCTTGTTCTGCTGACGCTAGATTGCAGTGTTTTTACTCTGTTTATACGGTTGTGTTGATCTGTGGTCACTTCAGCTCGGCCCTCTCACCGCAGAGTCAACAGCCTCGTTCTGTCTATTCATGCAGCTCTCTCTCTCTGTCTCTGTCTCCCTCTCCCTCTCTCTCTCTCTCTCCCTCTCTCTCTCTCTCTCTCTCTCGCTCGCTCGCGCATTCCTCGCCAGCCGCGAACTCTGGCGCTCGTTCAACTGTTTCAAACTCTTTCGAGATGCACCATCATTATTGGACACTTAAAATGTTTTGCAACTTCAGTGTACTTTCATTCATATGATGCGTGCATTATTATATTATATATCCTTAAGAAAATAAGGTTTGTGGGTTTAATCAAACTGCATACAGTTCCTTCTCAAAAAATGAGCATATTGTGATACAGTTCATTATTTTCCATAATGTAATGATAAAAATTAAACTTTCATATATTTTAGATTCATTGCACACCAACTGAAATATTTTCAGGTCTTTTATTGTTTTAATACTGATGATTTTGGCTTATAGCTCATGAAAACCCAAAATTCCTGTCTAAAAAAATTAGCATATTTCATCCGACCAATAAAAGAAGTGTTTTTAATACAAAAAAAAGAGTCAACCTTCAAATAATTATGTTCAGTTATGCACTCAATAGTCAATACTTGGTCGGGAATCCTTTTTCAGAAATGACTGCTTCAATGCGGCGTGGCATGGAGGCAATCAGCCTGTGGCACTGCTGAGGTGTTATGGAGGCCCAGGATGCTTCGATGGCGGCCTTAAGCTCATCCAGAGTGTTGGGTCTTGCGTCTCTCAACTTTCTCTTCACAATATCCCACAGATTCTCTATGGGGTTCAGGTCAGGAGAGTTGGCAGGCCAATTGAGCACAGTAATACCATGGTCAGTAAACCATTTACCAGTGGTTTTGGCACTGTGAGCAGGTGCCAGGTCTTGCTGAAAAATGAAATCTTCATCTCCATAAAGCTTTTCAGCAGATGGAAGCATGAAGTGCTCCAAAATCTCCTGATAGCTAGCTGCATTGACCCTGCCCTTGATAAAACACAGTGCACCAACACCAGCAGCTGACATGGCACCCCAGACCATCACTGACTGTGGGTACTTGACACTGGACTTCAGGCATTTTGGCATTTCCTTCTCCCCAGTCTTCCTCCAGACTCTGGCACCTTGATTTCCGAATGACATTCAAAACTGAGCAACAGTCCAGTGCTGCTTCTCTGTAGCCCAGGTCAGGCGCTTCTGCCGCTGTTTCTAGTTCAAAAGTGGCTTGACCTGGGGAATGCGGCACCTGTAGCCCATGTCCTGCACACGCCTGTGCACGGTGGCTCTGGATGTTTCTACTCCAGACTCAGTCCACTGTTTCCGCAGGTCCCCCAAGCTCTGGAATCGGTCCTTCTCCACAATCTTCCTCAGGGTCCGGTCACCTCTTCTCGTTGTGCAGGGTTTTTTGCCACACTTTTTCCTTCCCACAGACTTCCCACTGAGGTGCTGTGATACAGCACACTGAGAACAGCCTATTTGTCCAGAAATTTCTTTCTGTCTTACCCTCTTGCATGAGGGTGTCAATGATGGCCTTCTGGACAGCAGTCAGGTCGGCAGTCTTACCCATGATTGCGGTTTTGAGTAATGAAACAGGCTGGGAGTTTTTAAAAGCCTCAGGAATCTTTTGCAGGTGTTTAGAGTTCATTAGTTGATTCAGATTCAAACAGATGAAATTTGGTCCGACGAAAAGAGGTTGTCTCGGGGTGTTTTCACACCAGGAAAGTCCGATAGTTCACTTGCTTTGGTTCGGACCAAATTATTATTTTTTTTTTTTGGTACGGTTTGCTTTCACACTGCTCTTTTTGCAAGTGAACCAAAATTTGTAAACAAAAGGATTCTCAAGTAGGGAAATCAGGAGGTGCAAAAAAGGCTTAACGTAAATTAACGCAGCATCATCCTTGTATTGTAACTATCGTTACATTATATGAACTGCAAATGTTTTTTTTGTGAATGTGAATGTCCTGATGCACACACTCATTTATTCATTCCATTCCAATGATGCACACACGACGCGCAGAAAGACGCGCAACAGATGTAATGTAGTAGATTAGTGACCTACAACAGATCACTTTCCCATAACGCAACTCCGACTACGGAAGCCTGTTAACTCAAAGGCGCAGTGCTTTCGTGCAATTGGGTCGGTTCATGTTCACACCGTAAACGAACCGTACCAGAGTTCGTTTGGAACCGTACCGAGACTACCTCTTCAGCTGGGTCTCGGTTCGGTTGTTTGGTCCGCACCCGAGTTCGATTGCTGTATTCACACCTCCCCAAAAGGTCCGCACCAAGGGGGGAAACGAACTAGAGTTCGATTCAATCGAACCAAACAAGGCAGGTGTGAAAACCCCCTCAGTCTGGATCAAACTTGGTTTGGTTCGTTTCTAGTGTGAAAGCATTTCTGTATGGTTCGGACTTTCAGACCTTTTACAGGAAGTTCCGGTGGTTTCCCGCCGAAAAAACAGGTGGCAGGAAAAATGAGCCGTGGCACATGGGGAGAGGAGGAGATGAGGTTTTTAATTGAAGTATGGTCTGATGACATAAGAAGAAGTCAACTGGAAAAAACAAACAAAAATGCAGACTAGGGCTGCACGTTTTCAAGTTTTTCATTAACCGTTAACCGAGGCCCTTAGCGGTTAATACTCGGTTAACCATAGTGTGCGCGCCGCAACCCCGAGATACAGACACACGAGAAAGGGTTAGTTCATTTTTAACACCTTTAATAACTGGTTGGACCACATTTGAAACGAAAATAATTTATAGAAATAAAACGCAGTGGTAAGGACAGAGCAGTTTTAGTGTGTTCACACCGAACGCGAATTTAATTATTTGCGCGAGTGGATTACATACAAAGTCAATGCAAAGACGCGAATAGACGCATCATTCGTGCCGGGCGTTGCGAATGACGCGAATTGGGCGACGCGTTTGCCGCGAATGTCTTCCGCGCAAGTTGAAAAATTTGAACTCGAGCGAATGTTCAAGCGTCTAACTAGACGCGTATTTGACGCTCTATTCGCGTTCGGTGTGAACACACCATAATGATGCCCGGGTGTTGGCTGTTGAGATGGTACAACAACGAGGTTGTACTTGAAGTATATCTAAGCACTGCATTGCAATACTTGCATTTTGCCCCGTCATTCTCGATTTTAAAGCGCTCCCACGCTGTGCTTTTCTTTGCCCGCTTCATATTAGAAAACTGGTCATGACTAGCCTTCATCATGTTGTCAAAGTTACCCGCCGAATTGACGACACGCTGATGTCAGACGCACGTCCATTTACAAACCAATCAATGTCAAGATGCAGCACACACAGATGATGACGACAGGACGCAAGTGTGTCACGTAAAGTTCTTTAGTGCGCTCGCATAATTGCAGTGTGAAACCAAACCAAAACTTTCTGAAAGTATAAAATTTATCAAAACGTGAACTTTGGTTCGGACTTTCAGGTGTGAAAACGCCCTTAAATCAAGCTGCATATATTATTATATAATGTTATATTATATTATTTGTTTTGTATTGTATATAGCCTTATTATATTTTATTAAATTAAATGATATTATTTATATAGTTTACTTTATATTATATACATTTTTATTATGTATGATATATTATATCATTTTCACAGTATTAAAGTAAATCATGTGGATCTATTTTATTATAATTTTTATTGTTGAATACGATTTAAAGTAAAAAATAAATATAGTATATACTGTGTATATACATTTTTTTTTTACTTTAACTCGTATTCATATTCATATTTAAAATTCATATCGTATTCAAATATATTTATGATGTATATGCATGTTTATTATGCATGTAAAAAGTGACCGAAAAGTCAAATGCATCATAGATAAATCTTCAGATGCTCGTAAATGAGCCTCGGTTAGATTCAACAAGCGGAGCAGAGCAACACACTGTATAATGAAGTCTCTGTGCGTCTCTGGACGATGACATCATCTCGCTAATGAGGCAGTAAACGAGTGTGGGCAGATCTGCTCTGATGTATGAGCACTGACTCTGATAATGCTGGGTAATTGTGCTTCCTGTGGCCACATCTGAATGTTTATCTGATAGGATTTTCATGAGACTGATTGTGCGGCCGCGGCTCTGTTGTTCTTCTGGTCCCACTGTGTAAACGCATCCGCAGACGTTTTAACACTAAAGGTTGTTTTCTGGCCCTTTGTAGCGTTTACATTACGTTTACTTCATGATAAGGTCATGTTGTTAATCTGCTTTCTGTTCTTTGCACCTTGGCAGTCTCGCAGTGTGGACAAGCAACACGCGGTGCTCAACTACGACGTGTCCACAGACGAGCACCTGGTCAAAGACCTGGGCAGCCTCAACGGGGTGAGCTCACTCATATTAATAACCAACACAAATATGGATTTTTAATAGGGCTGGTTAAGATTTTTAATGCAGTTTCGTCAAATGGTGGGATTTACAAACTACCATTTTTACATTTATTGATTAATCGTCTAATAGTGTGTTTTTTTTTTTTTACTAATCAGAATTATTTGAGATAACCGCAATAATTGTGCATTGAAAATTTCAATCACAATTTGGCAAAGCATATAAAAAAACTTTTGTAAAGTACATAAAAATAGTAAAAGGTTTAATCACACTGCATTATATTATATTATATTAGGCTATATTAATGTGTTGTATTGTGTTTATAGCTTTATTATAATTACATTATATTATTTATATAGTTTATATTATATACATAATTTTCAGACTGCATTCATTATATTATATTACATTATATGCATTGCAGTCTGAAAATTATGTTTGATTAAACCTACAAACCTTCATTTCATAATATAATATAATCTTACGAAAATGAAGTTTTGTGGGTTTAATCACACTGCATATATTATACTATATTATTATATATATATGTATTGTGTATATAGCTTTATTATAGTGCTTATATAATTTTCACAGAATTAAAGTAGATTATGTGGGTCTATTGTATTATAATTTTTATTGTTTTATTCGATTTAAAGTTAAAAAATAATGTATGAGGCTTACAGTGTAAGTGACATAAACCAAACAGAATTAAATCACAATTATTTCTATGACAATTAATCGTCAGCACAAAAATTCATGATCTTGATGGGCCTAATTTGAAAATGAATTTAATTTAAGTTAAATAAATAAATACACACGCTGAAAGACTTTCACTATTGAGTTTTAATAAAAATGTACATTGAAGAATGTGTGTGTAGTCATGCTTTTACATCAGTGTGTTTTTGTCTCGTCAGACCTTCGTGAATGACCTTCGCATCCCTGACCAGACGTACATCACCCTGAAGTTATCTGATGTCATCCGCTTCGGATATGATATCCTTCCTCAAACGCAGACCGGAATAAAACGGGTTGTGGTTTGACTCAGGGCTTTTGATTTTGTGCGATGAGAAAGAATAACTTGCAGAAATGCCTTCTGATAATGAGCAGAAAGCAGCTTTCTTGTTTATGGGACGGGTTTGTTCAGGACAGTGCTCGGCTCAGCTCGATAGAAATGATGCCGCGAGAGTTTTGTCCCGCTGTTGTGTCCTTTCTCTATGATCATTATGGGATGGCTTGTTTGTTTCTTGATTGTTCACACATTCACACATATACATCCTGGAGAGAAGCCAACACAAAGTGCCCGAGGAAGCCCTCAAGGTAGATTTGAGTTAATCTCTCCATTCCTGCACATTTATAGGAAATAGGAATATTCTATTATTGTATAAAGCGCTATAGACATTAGGGCTGTCACTTTACAGTCGAATATCGATTGCGCAATCAATCGGACCAACCAACACAAGTATCGAAAACGAAAATAGGGAATCGATTTTAACGGCCTTTTTAAAAAAACATATTTTTTACCAAAAATGTGTGTTAGGTGGACAGATCAATCCAGCACACAGAACATGTAGGATGCTGGAAAATAACAATGTCGTTTCTGTTAACCAAATGCTTTAATATTCGCTTTTACTTCAATGCAAGTGAACAAGCGCGCTGTTATTTGTTGCGCAGTGACGTGTGTGTGTGTGTTCAAGTAAGCCAGAAATGAGCAGATTCTGCAATACGCTGTATTTAATATATCATGAGGATCACGAGTTGCGTATTTGGGCTAAATCCGCGCAGATTTGTCTTACACGAACTTCCCCAGCAAAGTGAGTAAACACAGAAACACGCCAGATTGGCTCGTGATTCGACAGCGTTTCCCGCCACAGTTCATTTTTACCCGCATTTGGCGAGTCGAGGGTGTTAATCTCCATCCCTGAATGTTGCGCTCCTGTTTGTCATTGTGCTGAAACTTCACGCCAATAAATCATCAGGAATATTGCTGACTTGTGCGTCTCAAGCGCCCTCTTTACGCTCGTCCTAATGCCTGTTAGGTGTCCGTGGATTTGCCTATATTTGGTGTTGAAAATGGACACGTCTTTAGATGGAAAATCGACTTTACAATCAATTCAATGAACACTTATGACTCAAAAATCAAACAGGATTTTTTCACAAAAGTGACAGCCCTAATAGACATAAAGGTGACTTGACTGTTCGGGCTTATTTTCAGTGTAATGTCTACATGCCATTTATGGCATACTGAATTCAATTCACATTTATTTGTATAGCGCTTTCCACAATACACATCATTTCAAAGCAGCTTTACAGAAAATCCACATTACAATTTTGATCTGTCATCAGAGGAAACTGTCTAAGTTATGAATTACAGAAATGTACATGTACAAAATCACAGTTAGCTTAAAATTTATTAATTTAAACAATGTAGTTTAAGGCAGAAACGTCGAGCTCATAGAAGTAATGAATACTTTTGTTAACAAATGATTGACATCTAGAAAAATGTAGCATTGAATGAAGTGAATGAAAGTTTTCTGGAGTTAAAGCGTTAACTAACAACGAGTAATACATTTGGTACAGTGTTTATTAATCTTTGGTTGCGATATGTAATAAAAATACAACTGTTTATTATTAGTTCATGTTACCTCATGTTCAATAAAATTAACAGTTAACAATTATCAGTGATTAAACGATACATTAAATTAATGTTTTAATGCCTTCATTTAATCACCAGAAAATACACAACACAGAATTTGTGGGGAAAAAACTTTTCATAGAAATGATTTTTTCATGTATTTAATTAATTAGACATGGTTTTTAATTCTAAACATTTTATTAAACCATTAAAATGGAATCCAGAAAACACAGAATTTGGTAAACATGGAATAAAAAAAATAATTAAATAAACCCCCCCCCCACATATTTCATAGTTCATAGGTCCCTAAACATGTAATTTTTCTAAACTTTAATACATTTTTGTTAAATTGTATAAGTTTCATGATTCCAAGTAATTAGACATGCTTTTTGATTACTAAAAATGTAATTTAACTATAATTAAAAAATTAAAACGGAAAAGAATGCAGTCCAGAAAAATTTTAACGGAAAAGAATGCATTTTGAAAAAATAAAACTTGATTTCATATTGCCCTACAGATACAACTTTTGAATTTAATGGCTGTCAAGTGATTCAAATTTTAAATCTAATTAATTACGTGATATGCCGATTTATTAAAATGCTGTTAAATCGACAGCCCTTGTATTTATAAATGAGCATGAACTAAAATGAAGAAATGCTGTATTTTCAGAGTGTGTGTGTTGAGATATGCTCATGTAATTTATATATTCTCTGGATTCCAGCATGAAAAATACACCAGCCAGCTTCAGTTTGGTCAAGAGATGCCGGAAACCAAGAAGCACATCAGGACAGAGGAGAAACAGAGAGACTCATTACGCCTCAAATCAGAGAAAGCCGAGCGGAAGAACATCACAGGTACTTCTGAAACACACGAGGAACTCGCTTCACCTTTTAAATTCATGTTTCTGGTCTTATTGTGAATGATTCATCAGTGACATTACTATATAATGAAAATTCTCTTCCTCTCAAACGATCTTTTTCAAGAATTTCTGATTGATAAAATCAATTCCTACTTTTTACCTTCTAGAATGTCCTGTTTTATTTGGAAATGTGGCCATTGAACGTTGTTTCATGTTGACTAACTTTTTTGTTCAAAGATTTGCCTTGTGAATTTATCACCTATTTCTTTTAGAAAAAGGTACATTTTTAGCTAGTATTTCCACGCCATGCTGACCTTCCTGACTTTGAGCCACAGCTGAAATTAGGGCTGGACCCAAATATTCGAATATTCGTTCGGTGGGTTGGTATTCGATTTGAAAATGTGACATTCGAATATTTTTTATTTTTTTTTTTGCACACCTGGCAACCCCCTCGAAACGGTTCTCATTCGCGCTTGAATATGTTTTACACTATAAAATCTGGTGAAATATAATACTTAACATATAACTTCGTTATAGCTACTTAATAAATATATTTGCTTCTTCTTGGACTACTAAACGTGTTCCTGCAACGGGAGTATCCTCTGGCTAGAGCGCAGAACAGCGGAGTGTGTGTGGACAGAAGTGCCTCAGCTTGTTTTGGGTTAAGCTGCGTTGCTTTGACATTGTGGAAAATAGAATAATAGAAACAAAATGTATTATCCTACCCGTTATTATCAATCTTAATTAATCTACTGCGAAATCTTAATATAAATTTGTGATGTTGTTATTGAAATTGTGATTGCTACCGTGTTCTTTATTTAGGCTATTACAGTTCGTTCATTTATTTTTCGTTTGTCTTTATTTAAATTTCGTTTTTATTTATTTAAATTTCGTTTTTGTTTTATTTAAAACTACTCGACTTTGTCAGTGAGAATATTATAAGACTATACCTTATTAAAAATATTGCTTAAGTTAAAAGACCTGTGTGTGTGTGTGTGTTTTATATGCAGTGTCCATTCTCGGAACATAAGCCCTGCTCGCGTGAGGCACGCGCTTCTCTCTTGCACTGTTCTGTAGTTTATTAAAACTTTATTAATTCTGAACGTGTCGCGTCTCGCCTGTCTATATTGCACCAAATACGACACTGCACTCCTTGTGAAGTCGTTTGGATGAACGGTTCTCGAAATATTTAAAATGCAAACGGACAGACAGATATATAGAGATTCCGAAGCTTCGAATATTCGATGTTCGTTACTACCGAAGCTCAACAAATGGTGTTCGGACCAGCCCTAGCTGAAATGTCATATTTCTGCACTGTATTGCTTGCATAGTAAACTACTGAATCTATTTGTTTTTGCACAAACTTTGCTTTATAGATAATTTCAGTCGTAGGTGTGTCACGTCTTTTTAAGACTTAAGAAAATCCTATATATATGTGTACTGTGTGTATATATGTGACCCTGGATAACAAAACCAGTCATAAGTCGCACGGGTTTATTTGTGGCAAAAGCCAATCTTTAGGATATTAAGGAAAGATCATGTTCCATGAAGATATTTTGTAAATTTCCTACTGTAAATGTATAAAACATTTATTTTTGTGAGTGGATGCAGCCCAATCGCGAACATAAATGCACAACAGATTCCAGATCTTCAATAGTTTTATCTCGGCCAAATATTGTCCTATCCTAACAAACCATACATCAACAGAAAACGTATTTATTCAGCTTTGATGTATAAATCTCAAAATTTCTAAAAATTGAGCCATGTGACTGGTTTTGTGGTCCAGGGTCACATATATGATTTTCATATATATATATACACTAGGGCTGGGTAAAAATTATCGATTTCTCGATATTAAAGGTGCTCTAAGCGATGTCATGTGTTTTTTAGGCCAAAACATTTTTTGTCACATACAGCAAACATCTCCTCACTATCCGCTGGCTGCCTGTCCCCTGAACACACTGTAAAGAAACGCGATCTCTGTAGACAGCCCATGCTTCACAAACAGCACCAAAAACAAACTGCAGCGACCCGCTCCCCAAAACATAACAAACTGTTCCAGCCAATGACCGACAAGAAGGGTTTGGGGGTGTGGTTTGGGGGGTTAGTGTGCGGATGAGGAGGAGGGAGGGTCTAGCTAGCCTCCGTTTTGTTTGACAATAGTTCGAACGTCAACAAGAAGTGACGTCACCCAGGATCGCTTAGAGAACCTTTAATCGATTCTCATTTTTACGAACCGATATCGATTCTTAAATCTCAAGAATCGATTAGTCAATCCTGTTTTCATTTGATGAATGAATGGAAGATTGTAGCGCGCATCCCATCCAATAAATCACAATAATCTTTGTGCTTTGTTACTATTGATACTAAATAAAGTCTCAGATTTCTAAGTACGTCCATTTTCTAACGAAATTCAAAAACATAAATAGCGTTTTGGCGCTGTGGCGTGAGATCGCTCTGGCTCAGCTCAAGAGAAGCAGCAGCGTGGTGCGCACATGATCTCCTCTTCCGCCTTAATAATACCAGTTACAGCGCGAAATAAACATGAATGAATGTCTGAAAGTGTGTTAAAAGACAGAGTACAACTTATCGAAATCCGTATCATGTCACATGGAATCGCTCAATCAGTGTTTCAACCGTGGAAAGACGTCAGTAAAACAACTTGCAAACAATGTCATGTAACGTCACATTTACCTCAGAAAAACCATATGTGACCATAAACTCGTTAGTCAGCTAGAAAAATTAACTCTAAAGAGGAGCATTTTGCTAAATATATGCACCATATTACATATTCATTATAATTTTTTATGTTCTTCGATATTTAATGCATGTTTGAATAAATCTGGCAAGTTTTTATGACAGCCACCATTTAAATGTTTATATTTCATATAACTTTATTATTATAAAAATAAATAAGTGTAATTTAAGTGTTTGTATAGCTACAAATCAGTTAATTTTTACATTCAATATAGTAGGCTAATGAAGCCTATAGGCTACAACTGACTCCCATAGTGTACAGCATTAGTTAAGAGATTTGTTTTCCTTGAGAAAATTTGCCATGTATTGCACCTGATATCCAAAATAATCTATATTGAATCGAAATCGAATCGAATTGCAAGCTTGTGAATCGAAATCGAATTGAATTGTGAAATTTGTGTCAATACCCAGCCCTAATATACACCAAACACTTGTGATTTTGAAAGTGTAGCGAGATCAACTCGATTACAGGCGGATTATAGGCGGAGCTAAAGAGGTCTTCTGGCACGTGTTGCTTTTTTCGACTCGCTGATTCTGTACAGCATCATGGGTAATGTTAGCCTGGATGCCAGCCGAGCTTAGCCCCGCCCACAACATTTGAGGATGGGAAGTTCGGTCTGGACTTGATCCGTTGTGAAGCAAGTATGCCCGAACCAAAGCTGTTCGGACCAATCAGATTGTCAGGGCGGGCTTTATACGATGATGGACAGATGATCAACCGTAACGTAATCATCACGTCGCCAAAGAGCGCTTGGGTTGAGTTCGTTTACAACAAAGATGGCCGCCGCTGGAGAACTGAGATGTGTAGATTCAGCCATCGTGTCTGTTATAGAAGATGTAGACGGCGCATTCATTTTAAAAGAGGAACAGAGAAGCGCGATCAAGCCATTTGTCGATCCAATCAAGTCCAGAGGCATTTTCTTTCCTGGTTCGGTTGAAACGCCCCATAATCACAGCCCAATGGAGCAGATTCAGACTCACATGGTGACTAGAGTCTGAGTATGACGACATCAGGCTAGGGTAATGTAGCTTTTCACCAGGAATTCCACAGTTAAACATTTTAAAAATAAGCCGAAATAATGCGTGCTGACGGCTTTAACAGAAACAAACACAATGGAATAACAACCTCGTAACTCAGAAACATTTAAAGACAGACTTGCTGTGACTAAGTTATCATTAAAGATAAATTTCCCTATGGATAGAGAATGAATGGAGTTTTTAACTCCCGAAACGGAACTTGATGGAATGTTCAGCATTCCGAATCTAACCAACACGATGATGTCATTGTGATATTTGCATACTTCCCTTACAATCACTACGGTTTCCTTCAGGAAGTGTGAGTCTAGTTTGAATATTGCGGGGTGTGAGTGATTTAAAAGGCTTTTAATGCCCTTTCATTAACTCGTGTTTAACATACCCATCATCAGTGTCATAAGACATTCTCTTTATCTTGAAGAATCCAGACACAGGGACTCGATTAATCTGTTTCACATCGGCTAAACATGTACCGTTACTGTTAAACCCTGTTAAACTAACGTCAGCTCTCACTGAGTCTGTTTGGACTTGTGTGCTTCACACATCAGGCATCACTAATGCTAATGTTCATACTGAGGGTTATATATGTGATCAAACCCCCAACACTCACTATTAAAGCATCAATATAGAGAAATGTGAATTTGTCACACTCACAGAGACATTTGCTTAGTGCTCTTAAAGAGGGATGGTGTTGCTCATGGGAAAATGAGTGGTTTCACGGCTGAGCGAACTGGAAGACCTGAATCATCCAGTGAAAACGAGCTCTGGAAGCGTTCGCTGTGTTTGTAGATGATGTGAATTTCCCCCGAAAAGCAGATCAGATGGACAACATGGCATACAGCGGTTTCTTTGTTCACTGAGTGGATGAAAAGCAAATAATTATGTGGAAAATAAAACCAGAAGAGACATCATTTTAATTTGAAAATCTAAATAAAATGCTTGCTAAACCTGCATGTCATGTGACCATAAACCAACATCAGAGAACCGTGAACATGCGAATGTGTGGTTAAATTATCTTAAAAACCTCAAGTAAATATTTTAGGACAAAGTGGTTCAGCTAACAAAAAAAGTTTAGTAGATAAATGCAGCTAAATAAAGAATTAAACAGTGCATGTTCTTTATATAAATACATTTTGTTATGCATTAAAGCGCATGGGTGTTTAGATGGACGACAGTAAAAGCTCGTTCTCATAAGGACTTCATGAGAGAGTTTCTGTCCTGTGCTTTCTGACCTGGTCCTGCCCAACTGACTCATGGGATTGAATCATGTTTAATCACTTTTTTCCTAGTTCTGTTCCCAATAAGCAGCTCTTAGCTCAGTCCCAAACAAAAAGAGTTACGTTTGAGTCAGATAATGTTGCACTCAGTTTGGGTTGATCCTTCTTAAAGGGATAGTACACCCAAAAATGATTTAAAAAAAAATTGTTGTTAAACTTGCATGAAGTTCTTCCTTCTTTTGACCAAAAAGATATTTTGAAGAAAAACAGAAAAATGTTATGTTTTATGTTTTAACATAAACAGTTGAGAAAGAAACGCATGTGTGCCAGTATATTGGATCTGTGCGTCAGGTCTTAAAGTGACAGTAGCCTAATATATACAGTACCGGCTGCCAAATTAAGCCATAATATTAAAAATATCTATATTTTTGGGGAAAAAATAAAAACGGATTTCATAGGACCCTACAGATACAACTGTTGATTTGAATTATGGCTGTCAAGTGATTCACATTTTTCATCTAATTAATTGCGTGATATGCCGATTAATTTAAATGCTGTTAAATCGACAGCCCTAATTTTGATAATGTATATGTATATTAACATTAACTAAAATTAAGGTGTGTGTGTGTGTGTGTGTTGGGTAGGTTTAGGGGTTGGGTTAGTGTGTATGTGTGTTGGGTAGGTTTACGGATCGGGTTAGTGTGTGTGTTGGGTAGGTTTAGGGGTCGGGTTAGTGTGTGTGTTGTGTAGGTTTAGGGTTAGGGTTAGTGTGTGTCTGTTGGGTAGGTTTAGGGGTCGGGTTAGTGTGTGTGTTGGGTAGGTTTAGGGGTCGGGTTAGTGTGTGTGTTGGGTAGGTTTAGGGTTAGGGTTAGGGTGTGTGTGTTGGGTAGGTTTAGGGGTCGGGTTAGTGTGTGTCTGTTGGGTAGGTTTAGGGGTCGGGTTAGTGTGTGTGTGTTGGGTAGGTTTAGGGGTCGGGTTAGTGTGTGTCTGTTGGGTAGGTTTAGGGGTCGGGTTAGTGTGTGTGTGTTGGGTAGGTTTACGGATCGGGTTAGTGTGTGTGTTGGGTAGGTTTAGGGGTTGGGTTAGTGTGTATGTGTGTTGGGTAGGTTTACGGATCGGGTTAGTGTGTGTGTTGGGTAGGTTTAGGGGTCGGGTTAGTGTGTGTGTTGTGTAGGTTTAGGGTTAGGGTTAGTGTGTGTCTGTTGGGTAGGTTTAGGGGTCGGGTTAGTGTGTGTGTTGGGTAGGTTTAGGGGTCGGGTTAGTGTGTGTGTTGGGTAGGTTTAGGGTTAGGGTTAGGGTGTGTGTGTTGGGTAGGTTTAGGGGTCGGGTTAGTGTGTGTCTGTTGGGTAGGTTTAGGGGTCGGGTTAGTGTGTGTGTGTTGGGTAGGTTTAGGGGTCAGGTTAGTGTGTGTCTGTGTGTTGGGTAGGTTTAGGGGTCGGGTTAGTGTGTGTGTGTTGGGTAGGTTTAGGGGTCGGGTTAGTGTGTGCGTGTGTGTGTGTTGGGTAGGTTTACGGGTTGGGTTAGTGTGTGTGTGTGTGTGTTGGGTAGGTTTAGGGGTCGGGTTAGTGTGTGTGTTGGGTAGGTTTAGGGGTCGGGTTAGTGTGTGCGTGTGTGTGTTGGGTAGGTTTAGGGGTTGGGTTAGTGTGTGTGTTGGGTAGGTTTAGGGGTCAGGTTAGTGTGTGTGTGGGGGGTAGGTTTAGGGGTTGGAGTAGTGTGTATTTGTGTTGGGTAGGTTTATGGGTCGGGTTAGTGTGTGTGTGTGTGTGTGTGTTGGGTAGGTTTAGGGGTCAGGTTAGTGTGTGCGTGTGTGTGTTGGGTTAGTGTGTGTGTGTGTGTTGGGTAGGTTTAGGGGTCAGGTTAGTGTGTGTGTGGGGGGTAGGTTTAGGAGTCGGGTTAGTGTGTGTGTGTGTTGAGTAGGTTTAGGGGTCGGGTTAGTGTGTGTGTGTGTGTGTGTTGGGTAGGTTTAGGGGTCGGGTTAGTGTGTGTGTGTGTTGGGTAGGTTTAGGGGTTGGGTTAGTGTGTGTGTGTGTTGGGTAGGTTTAGGGGTCAGGTTAGTGTGTGCGGTTAGGGGTCGGGTGTGTGTGTTGGGTAGGTTTAGGGGTCAGGTTAGTGTGTGTGTGTGTGTGTGTGTGTGTGTGTGTGTGTGTTGGGTAGGTTTAGGGGTCGGGTTAGTGTGTGTGTGTTGGGTAGGTTTAGGGTTAGGGTGTGTGTGTTGGGTAGGTTTAGGGTTAGGGTTAGGGTGTGTGTGTTGGGTAGGTTTAGGGGTCAGGTTAGTGTGTGCGGTTAGGGGTCGGGTGTGTGTTGGGTAGGTTTAGGGGTCAGGTTAGTGTGTGTGTGTTGGGTAGGGTTAGGGTTAGGGTGTGTGTGTTGGGTAGGTTTAGGGGTCGGGTTAGTGTGTGTGTGTTGGGTAGGTTTAGGGGTCGGGTTAGGGTGTGTGTGTTGGGTAGGTTTAGGGGTCGGGTTAGTGTGTGTGTTGGGTAGGTTTAGGGGTTGGGTTAGTGTGTGTGTGTGTGTTGGGTAGGTTTAGGGGTCAGGTTAGTGTGTGCGGTTAGGGGTCGGGTGTGTGTGTTGGATAGGTTTAGGGGTCAGGTTAGTGTGTGTGTGTGTGTGTGTGTGTGTGTGTGTGTGTGTTGGGTAGGTTTAGGGGTCGGGTTAGTGTGTGTGTGTGTGTGTGTTGGGTAGGTTTAGGGGTCGGGTTAGTGTGTGTGTGTGTTGGGTAGGTTTAGGGGTCGGGTTAGTGTGTGTTGGGTAGGTTTAGGGGTCAGGTTAGTGTGTGTGTGTGTGTGTGTGTGTGTGTGTGTGTGTGTGTGTGTGTGTGTGTGTTGGGTAGGTTTAGGGGTCGGGTTAGTGTGTGTGTGTGTTGGGTAGGTTTAGGGGTCAGGTTAGTGTGTGTGTGTGTGTGTGTGTGTGTGTGTCTTGGGTAGGTTTAGGGGTCGGGTTAGTGTGTGTGTGTTGGGTAGGTTTAGGGTTAGGGTTAGGGTGTGTGTGTTGGGTAGGTTTAGGGGTCGGGTTAGTGTGTGTGTGTTGGGTAGGTTTAGGGGTCGGGTTAGTGTGTGTGTGTTGGGTAGGTTTAGGGGTCGGGTTAGTGTGTGTGTTGGGTAGGTTTAGGGGTCGGGTTAGTGTGTGTGTGTGTTGGGTAGGTTTAGGGGTCGGGTTAGTGTGTGTGTGTTGGGTAGGTTTAGGGGTCGGGTTAGTGTGTGTGTTGGGTAGGTTTAGGGGTCGGGTTAGTGTGTGTGTGTTGGGTAGGTTTAGGGGTCAGGTTAGTGTGTGTGTGTTGGGTAGGTTTAGGGGTCGGGTTAGTGTGTGTGTGTTGGGTAGGTTTAGGGTTAGGGTGTGTGTGTTGGGTAGGTTTAGGGGTCGGGTTAGTGTGTGTGTGTTGGGTAGGTTTAGGGGTCGGGTTAGTGTGTGTGTGTTGGGTAGGTTTAGGGGTCGGGTTAGTGTGTGTGTGGAGATGCTCATTTCATTTATACGAGTCTCAAATCATGGTTCTGAATGACATTCACACAAGGGTGCAACACAGTATCTCCACCCGAACTCGAGTAGCTAAAGTGGGTCAACATCTGTGACGCGTCACCACAACTTTCCAAATAAAGCTAGTCCTGCGTTTTCGGCTGCTCCCTGTTTCCTGCTGTTCCATCTTTGCCTTTGTTGTCGGGGCGAAGCTATTTAACATCAACAGTGTCCATGATCCGACATGTAACCAGCGTGACTGGTTATCTCTGACAGCAGCTGACGGTTAAGATGGCTTTGATTACTGATGTCGGGTGGAGTCCAGAATGTGCCAGTGTTATTGGCTAAATTACGGTTGCTGCACTGAAGGCTTCAGGCCACACATGCAGAATGTGTGCATGAACGTTTCCCAACCTTTTCATTTGGTTTGAAAATAAGCTGTTGTGTTGCTGGCACTGACATGAATAGAGTTTAAAAACAAGTTTGGTTCTTCTTTAACAGTGGAAGGAGTTTCTTTCTTTTTTTTTTCCTTTTTTTTTTGTTCAAATGTTTTAGGTTTTTCTTTTTTTTTTCTTTTTTTTTACCTAAATGAATATATTTTATAAATATTTAAATATAGATTTTTTTATTATTTCTTTATTTCTAAAATAAGTAGTCACCTATTTAAGTATGACTTTTTAAAAATTAATTTATTCTTTTAATCATCAATAATTGTATACATTTATTTGAATATTTTTATTATTATTTCTGTATTTCCAAGATGTCGTCACCAATTTATTTAATTTATGTAGTTTTGTTTAAAATTTTTACATTTTGTAAATACATTTTTTACCTACATTTATACATTTAATAAACATTTAAATGGTCTTTTTAAATTATTTCTTTATTTCTAAAATAAGTAGTCACCTATTTTTTTTTTTTTTTTTACATATTTATAACATTATTTTACTTTTTTTGTATTTCTAAAATAGGTAGTCACCTATGTATTTTTTTTTTTTAGTATTACATTTTTTTTGTTGTACTTTTACTTTTTTCTTATAGTTTTTTTTAATGTACTGTAGTTTTTTTTGTATTTTTCTGTATTTCTAAAAAGGTTATGTCAGCTGTGTATTTATTTGTTTAGTATTAAATAGATTTATTTTAAAAATATTCATTATTTTTATCGTTTTTTAAATGTATTTATTTTTAAAACAAATAATGTAACCAGTTCCACTGTATTAATGTAAAGTGTCTTCTGGCATTAATGTCAGTGGTTTCATCAAACTCTTCCTCTTCCCTGGTGTGATCACAGACCCGCCCGTGTCGAGACCCACGCCGCTCTACGGCCAGCCGTCCTGGTGGGGTGAGGATGATGAAGCAAAGGGTGAAGATGATGAAGAAAAGGGTGAGCGTTGTGACCCGAGCGCTCATGAACATCACGCAGGTTTGAAACTGAGACTCATGATCCTCACACCCAATCCCAGATACACATTTACACAGGGACTTTACATCATAGCGGTTCTAAGACGTCAGTTTCACTATCGCCAAATTAGACAACCCAGTGAAATCCTCGCGCAAGTTTCTTTGTCAGAGTGTGTGAGAAGTGTGGACAGGAATGCAGCTTTAGTGTGAAGTGAGAACAGATACAATCCTTTTGTGTTCGCTGATCTCGAGCCTGAGGAATTCAGTGCTAAACTCTGCGCTGGCATGAGCTTTAAAACCCGTCAGGCGAGCCGGGTCAAGCTCGTGATGGATTAGCAGCCAGTCTTAGTCCAATGAGAAGGGCATTGTATTTTCCCTCCAGTCTTAAGCACTTCTCAAAGTTTTCTTCAGAGATTAAAGGGTGACCATAGAAACATTTGTTCCATTGCAGTTGGCTTGTGTTTTAGTTTAGTGTTTTTAGGAGTAACCTTTGGTTTAGCATTAGCGGACAGCACGTTTCATATATTTAATATTGTTATACACACTTCAGACAGTTTATTTTCTTCGGCATTTCATGCCTGTGTTTAACAGTGTCCTACCCAGCCACGATGTGATAATCATTAAATCCATGTTAATCTGAGTTTTATCCTAACCAGCTGCAACACAGTCAGATTTGAGATTTATCGCATGGTTTAAAAATGAGATTTATTATGATGAATAACCCACCTATTTTTATAATATATATTTTTTAAATTTGACCTAAATATGTTTTATAAATTTATTTAAATGTAGATATTTCTAAAATAATGTCATGCATTTTTTTTTTTTTTTTTACATAAATTTGTTTTATACATTTATTTGAATATAGATTAAAAAAATCTAAAATTAATTTTTTTACAAATTTTTTGTTCTGTTTTAAAGTGAAATTTGGTTTAAAATCCATCAACTCAGAGCTGTATATTAAACATAGATTATATTGTTGCTTCATGCTGCAGTTTGGTTTTAGTTTGGACAGAAAATGAAGTTTACACGTGTTACACCGGGTTAGGACAGTGTGTGAGATAAACCTAAAATACTTGACCTTAACCTCACAGCAGGAGTGACTTAAGTAATGTAAGTGAATTAGCTCTTCTGTATGTCACACGCACGAGTCTGGCACACATCCTAATCTGTCTGTGCAGTTAGTTTGTAGTGATGATGCTTTGGAAACTAATGCTTCTGTAAAGCTTCAAATCTTTCGTTATAAACCAGTGGTCTGGAGTGCATATCAAACTGACAAAATCACATGATTTCAGTAAATGAGGCTTATAACAGTTTCAAAACATTTCATAATTTCAATGGTTTGCTGCTAGGATCTCAGTTAACCCATGAACCGGTGGTTTTTAACTCCTCTTGGATCAACTTTATAATGCAAACGTTATTAAAGACATATTTGTATAGTAAATTAAAAGCTAAAATAGGTGTTTTTCTCACATTTAGATTTTTTTTACTGTAAAATTCTAAAATGATGTGCTAACTTCATGTGCAAGGTGTCATCTTTTTCAGAAAAATATTAGCTTTCAACAAATTACAGTTATTGACCATTATTGTGTGTGGTGAGTTTGTAAATAGAATTTAAATAGACAAAAATAAAAAATAAACGAGAATAAATTTACTGATTTTTATTTAGGAAAAAAAAGAGAAAAATCATTGAACGAAAGAAACTAACACTTTAAAGTTAAAAAATATACTATAATACATATATACCAGTCTTTTTTTGTGACATTGGGTTGCACAGTTTTCATTTAGGACACTTTTTTTCATACACGCACACACCACATGCTAAGATACGTGAAAGAGTAACGGCCATCCGCCTCCCAAGTTTCACTAAAAATCATCCCAATCCCCTCGTCTGCTGTCTACCACTTCATTCGCCATGTATTCGTTCGTTTCTTTTATTATTTTATGCAATCCAAAACACTCTAACCTGCCACGCTTCGTATCTGTGCTGTTCATGTTGTCTATCAAATCCATTCAAATTGCCCAACAGTAGTGCAAACGGTTGAAGAGTTACGGTAAAATGAATACAGCTTGCTGGTATGTGTCGGCGACGACAGCCGGTTCTAAAGGGTTAAGGCCGGATTAGCAAAACCCTCCATAAAACGTACAAAACAAGCCCTACAAATAAATAAAAGACCACATATTACACAGACACTTCATATTTAATGGTATTTCAGGGCTGCAACTAACGATTATTTTAATAATCGATTAATCCGTCGATTATTTTTCCGATTAATCGATGAATCTGATATAAAAAAATAAAAAATGAAAACAAAAAAGCATTAATTTCCAACCCTTTATTCAAAAACAGAGCTGACAGTGCAAAATCACAGTGCAAAAAATCTTTAAAAAAATCAGAAAGTGCACAAACGGGTTGTTCATTGAACATACCTGAGGTGTTAAAGTAATAATAATAAATAAAAAATTTGACTAACACAAAAAACATACACATGTATGCTTTACATATGCTTTTTTTAAAATAAAGTACTCAAAAATATGTATTTTTTTTTCTTTAATGGGACCTGAGCTGTCAGAACAATAAATAATTTATAAAAAATAAAGAAAAATACAAATCAGAAAACTACACGTCGATGATAACGGTATCGCTTTCAAAAGTGTGCTTTTTCCGTCCCCTAAAATGCCGTTGTTGTGTAAATGATCGGCCAAAACTCGTACGTTTTCTGTATTTAGTTGAAAACGGTGTTGTGTAAACGCTTCAAAAAGTGATTCATTTTGTGATAACCGATAATTATTTATATTTGAAAGCCAATAACCGATATATTGGCCGATAAATCTAAATTTAAATTAATTTGTTTTTGCAGTCAGGCTCTCAAAAAATATTAGTCTCACCATTGAAACCCATGTCCTAAACACACAATTATAACGTTCTCATTATAATTTTAAGTAGCCGATATGACAGACTTGTGTTTCACTGAACTGTATTTTCCTTTTTTGAAGTGATTTCAATCATATTTCAAGCTATTTAAAACTATCATGTTGAACAGTGCGCATCTGTAGAGTCTCAGCTGAAGGAAATACTCCATTATTGTTTATCAGTTTTAATAAATCTGCCAAATTTTCTTTGCAGGCAGATAACGATAACATTAAAAATGAACAGATATCGGCCAAATAGATAACATATATCGGCCATTCTATCATTAACGCTGATGTCTTTCCACAGAAAACCACAAGGATGGTACCGGATGTGAGGTCAGTGTATCGCCAGATGAGTTTCTCGATGGCCAGGGAAAGTCCGGTTACGCTTTCCGCAAGGAGCCGAGCTACTTTGAGATTCCCACGAAGGAGATCCATCCAAAGCCCAAAACTTCATCCCTGGAAGTCCAAGAGATCCCCACAAAAGACACGGACCACAAACCCCCTTCCACTCCCCCCGTGGTCCAGGGCCATGCCTCCTTCACCATCGAGTTTGATGACCAAACCCCTGGAAAGATCAAGATCAAGGACCAAGTCACGAAGCTCTCGGTCCGCCAGCGCAGGATTCCCACCAAAGAATCGATAGCCAGACTTACGGAAGTGATGTCGGCGGAGAACAAAGTTGCTGATTGGTTGGTGCAAAGCGACGCCACTATGTTGAGGAGTCTCGATGAGCAGTCTGGGTCCGACGAGCTCTCGAACAAGACCTTCAAGGGTAAACGACTCTGAATCGTTTCTGTACAGGTGGAAAGATTAATAACACTTAAAGTCCCCATGAATTCAAAATTGACCATACTTACTTTGTCTGCCTAAATTGATCGTTTTGTGGTGAACAATTCATCCATCCAAGTCAATCCACACAAAAAATTTTTTTGTCTTCGTAATCTTTAATCAAAATCTGAAATTTCCCCTCCCCTCTGCGTTGGAGGACCTTGCCTGATGACGTAGGTTTCACGGTTTGGGCGTCTGCTTAACATCCGTAACCACGCCCCTCCAACTGACAGTAGACAGGCTGAATGAAAACACCTACTTTTCTAGATCCAATCAGGTGCTAGTTGGGGAAAAAGCCACGCCCACCATTTTGCCTCATTTAGTATTCCGTTTCTCTCGGAAATACGTCACAACACTGGAGAAAAGTCGTTTGCAACTTCCGGTTCACGGGGACTTTAAGGCGAGACACGGCAGGCAAAAACATCACTGGTCAATTTTGAGTCTTCTTTCACACTTGTGGTGAAAAAAAAGTCTGAAATACACATTTAGGTCTTTATTTTACTACACTTTGTCTGTTTGCGTCTGTAGATTTCTCATAAATTCATCAAAAGTTGGCGTTGTAAATCATCCGTTCCTCCGCAATCACGATCTGCACCCTGTCATCACACACACCGTTAGAAAGCTCTCTCTCTCCTGTACAATGTTGTCGGATCCAAATATGGTTATTTCCTTTTTATCAGCAACCAATCGTGAAAGTAAAAGGGCGCAAATGCGCAATCTCATTGGCTGATGCTAAATCTTTAAAGCCCGTTTTCTCAAAATGACTTTTCTCTCATACTCAAAGTCCGAAATCTCCACTTCGGTAGCACCTATATACACCAAACTTTCCAGTCTTGTACCTAGTTATATTATGAAGACATTTACTGAGGGATTTGTAAATATATTATTGCTAGCCCGATTTATATAACATTTTATTCCAAAAAACATGGCAAAAATAATTTTTTTAAGGCTATTGACAGTATATTCTGATTTATAGGATAACAAAAGTAGATATCCATAAATCCCTCTGTAATTTTTTTCCCATCTAATATGTGAACACAATGAAAAAAGAATTTTGAACCTGGCTTTATCCAATACTCAGATTTCATTTTTTGAAATATATGCAAATTAGTGCATATTTAATTAGATAATGCCTAATTTGCATATTTAAACATTAAATTACAGAAAACTTGTAATACATTTTTTTTCTCATCTTAATGTAGGTAATCAACTGGGAAAGTTTCATGATGATATCTGCTAGTTAAAAAAATTACCCTATTCACCTGTAGTGTCTCGCCTTAAAGACCTAGAACATTTTTTGGGGAACCGGACTCGCCTGTACTTTTCTTGTTTTTCTAGCCCAAGAGAACTTGACGTTTCAATCTAGCTCATTTAAATTCCAAATTTTACATTTATTTTTGTCTGGGTGAATTTACCAGGTTTAAGAAAAACGGCAGCAACATGTTTTGATGTCCTGAAGTTTGGATTTTTTTCCTTTAGAAAGTTATACTTGGTTATTCCAGATTTCCAGATGAAATTTTGTCTACATGTAACAATCCCTAAGCAAGTTATAGCCATTTATTACAACATTATTACAGGCGCTTTTCAGTGAAAAACTGGTGTTTTTCATTTACTGACAATGTAGATGTGTCCAAAAAAAAAATCAGAAAGTAAATAGAAACATTGTTATATAATAATAGCTCACTAAAGCAAAGTGACTTTATATATATATATATATATATATTTTACTAAGGATATAATAATCTGGATAAATTTAAAAACACCTTTTTTTTGTGTATGTTTTGGCCTTCCATCAACACTTTCGTTTTGTACAACGAAAATCGCTTTTTGAGGACGCGCTCCCGATCGGATATATTTCAAAATATAATGTTTATGTTGTGTGGACTGTGAAAACGGAGGTATCCGACAATGATAACGCATGTTTAGTTATAGGTATTGTTGTACCAGATAAAGGTCGACCGATATGGGTTTTTTCTCTGGCCGATGCCGATAAGTTCTTTGTGCAGCACTTTGGACAACAGTTGTTGTATTAAATTGTGCTTTATAAATAAATAAAGAAGCTGCCAACAATGCACAATAAATCTCTTACATCGTGTCTCCGCTTTGTTTGTTAATGAGGTTTGGCGAGCCTGCATAACTCGGCAGTGCTGAATAAAACCCTCAGACTCTGACTAACTTGAACACCTCTGATTGGCCATTGCGTTCAAGAAATCAACAACTAGCCTATGTCTGTGATTGGCTACATTGCTCACTGCTGCAAAAACACGTTAAAAAACGTCTATGGTTGAAAATTCAATTGATTGCGTTTGAGGGTGCTTCGATATGCGTCTCCCTATTAATCAGCCTAATTTGTAGGGCTGGTCCGAATACCATTTTTTGAGCTTCGAAGCTTCGGTAGTAACGAACATCGAATATTCGAAGCTTCGGAATCTCTATATATCTGTCTGTCCGTTTGCATTTTGATTATTTCGAGAACCGTTCATCCAAACGACTTCACAAGGGAGTGCAGTGTCGTATTGGGTAGCCTACAATATAGATAGACAGGCGAGACGCGACACGTTCAGAATTAATAAACTTTTAATAAACTACAGAACAGCGCGAGCGGGATGCGTGCGCGCCTCACGCGAGTATGCTCCGAGAACGAACACTGCACTAGTGATATAAAACACACACAGGTCTGTTAACTTAAGCAATATTTTTAATAAGGTAGTCTAATATTTTTCTCACTAACAAATTACTGACAAAGTAGGGTAGATATAAATAAAGAAGCGGCGCGCGCAGGGCTTATGCTCCGAGAATGGACACTGCGCTAGTGATATAACACACACACACACACACACACACACAGGTCTTTTAACTTAAGCAATATTTTTAATAAGGTAATTTAATATTTTTCCCACTAACAAATTACTGACAAAGTAGGGTAGATTTAAATAAAGAAGCGGCGAGCCTCACTCAAGCATAGGCTCCAAGAACGGACACTGCAGTGATATAAAACACACACACGTCTTTTAAATTAAGCAATATTTTTAATAAGGTAGTCTTATAATATTTTTCTCACTGACAAAGTAGGGTAGATTTAAATAAATAAAAACGAAATTTAAATAAATAAAAACGAAATTTAAATATAGAAAAACGAAATTTAAATAAAGAAAAACGAAAAATAAACGTGACGTCCCAGTAAAATCTCAAAGTCTCCTATATTTAGCAGTAGATTAATTTAGATTAATAATAACGGGTAAAAAGGATAATACATTTTGTTTCTATTACTCTATGTTCCACAATGTCAAAGCAATGCAGCTTAACCCAAAACACAAGCTGAGGCATGCACTTCTGTCCACACACACTCCGCTGTTCTGCGCTCTAGCCAGAGGATACTCCCGTTGCAGGAACACGTTTAGTAGTCCAAGAAGAAGCAAATATATTTATTAAGTAGATATAACGAAGTTATATGTTAAGTATTATATTTCACCAGATTTTATAGTGTAAAACATTTTCAAGCGCGAATGAGGTGTGCAAAAAAAAAAAAGAAGAAGAATATTCGAATGTCACATTTTCAAATCGAATAGCAACACACCGAACGAATATTCGAATATCCGGGTCCAGCCCTACTAATTTGCAGCACAAATTAAATAAAAAAATGCCCAAAATTGGCCAGATCAAAGGCCCTTGCGCACTTTTTCCGATTTTTCGTATTCGTGATTCAGTGGCTCTGAATTGTCAAAACTCCATTCAAACTGCTTGCCATGGATGTGAAAAACGCAGAAAATCGAACCCGATTCGATTTTTTTTTATGACGGACGAAAGTTTCGGAGGCAGTGTGCAAGCGTGATTGACATAACGTGAGGTCGTGTTTATGTTTTAACGTGCGGAAATTTCGGACTCAGTGTGCAAGGGCCTTAATTGGTCGACCTCTAGTACCAGATTTGTTTTTGCCTGCTATTCTCTTCCTAAATGTTGACCTTTTACTTGTGTTGTTTCTAGATGCACACCATCATGATGATGATGATGATTTGGAAGAACCAGAAGAACCGCAAAAGGTTCAAAAGATCGTCCCACAACTGGAAGGAAAAGATTACCCAGCTAACTACATCCCAGATCCAAAGAGCCAAGGCAAACCGGATCCCCAGCAAGCTTTTATGGTCGAGTTCTTTGACGACGGTCAACGGAAAAAACGCTCGCAGTCGTTCACCAATAACATGTCTTCTCCTGACTTCCAGTCTGCTTTAAAAAGCAAGCTAGACAAACGAAAAGTTGCAGGCCAGGCTGGAGAGCGAACACCCGCATCATCCGCACATAACGCACCCACACAGCAGTTCACGATTCCCCTTAAAGGCTCTGATGATACGAAGCGGGCCGAATCTCTCAGACGGGAGAAAAGCGAGATGCGCATGAGCACGTCTGACTTTAGCTCTCGCTCCACGTCAAAACCCTTCGGCAGCATCGGCCGGAGATCCAAACTATCGCAGGACTTCGCAGCCGAGTTGCTCAGGATGTCCAAACCTAATCCTGCCTCCACGTTGGACCATAAAACCTCTTCTTCTACAACTACGACACACTCTAGCTCTACTCAGAGTTTTCCTGCCACGTCTCATCCCAGCATTAACCACATGGAAGTCAACTTCACGGAGGCCAAAACTTCTCCGCATGAAGAAGAGGACAGTTTGAGTGATGCAGGGACCTACACTATTGAAGCTGAGGGACCAGATAAAGAGGTTGTGGAGGCACGGAGTTTGATCGATCAGGTACAACCCCGTCACTTCAGCTTGACATCACATTTGAGTAGGGCTGGGCGGTATGAGGATATATATCATGGTGACCAAGTGTCTATCATTAGTAGGGCTGTAACGATATGCGATATGAAACTGAAATCCACAAACCTCCAACTCTCAGAGTTATCCTTCCCGTCCAGATCCAATGCTACCACATCTTTAAATTACTATTAGTAGTATTTGAAGTTAACATTATAAAATATGTAGACCTACACCACAAAACTAGTTGAGGATAAATTCTTTAAGGGGTCATATAATGCCATTTTTGTACAAGCTAATATGATTCATTAGGGTCTAAATTAAAAGTTTGTAATATACTTTAATTAAAAATTCTCATTAGTATTGTAAGAAAACACTTATTTTACCTGGTCAAAAACAGCTCTGTTTTCAGCACGCCGTTTCAGTGTATATGACTTTAAATGATAATGAGCTTTGCTGACTCCGCCTCTCTGTTCTGTGCGTACACCGTTTGTAACACAATAACCATAACGCGTTGTTCATTATAAACGGGGGATTATGCATTATATTGAGAACGTCATACATAGAAAACATGCCGTAATGTACCCTAAGTGTAAACCATAGACGCATTCATTGTGAAGCGTGCAGCTAGCGATTTGCAAAGATTAATATAAATATTAATATAAAGGTTAATAAAACGTTACACTCACTTCTTCTGGAGGTTCAGCAGGAACACGAATATCTGGTACCGATCCTTTATTCAGGAGCAGCTTCTTAGCAAATCCAGCTTTATACTGACCCTCGTTTATAAAGCAGTCTGGTGAGAAATGATTCGCACAAACATGAGAGCATTGACGTTGCTCGTGGGGAATATTCCCTTCGAAAACAAAACTCAGCCACTGCGTCTTCAGCGGTTCGGGTTTAGGAACATTAAAATGACTGTGTTCGTTATTAAACCCAAGAACAGAACACCACAATCGCTTAGACGCCATTCTGCTCATAGACAGTGCTCCAGCATATCAACAATGACCGCGCCGCGCAGACTATGATTGACAGCTGGCTCACGAGCGAGGGCGGGTCTGTGTTGAAACGATGCTGTCAATCAACAATCGTGGGAGGGGCTTCCGAGCGTGTGACGTCACAAGGTCGAACGGCTTGATTTGAGGCAGGGGAAAACATATAAGGAGATTAAAACAAAACCACTGGATGGATTTTTATCATTATATGATGGTTGTGTACAGGCACTGCCAACACACATTTCAGTACAATCAACTTGTAAAAGTGCATGTACCATTATATGACCCCTTTAATTTGACCTGTAACGGGCGTTTCACACCGGGAGCAGGAGCGGCACGCGAATGTTTACTGCGCTGCTCACGCTCAACTAAAGTGAAAGCACGCTTTTGATGGACGACATAAATATGATTTCACACAATAAGTGCCCAAAATGCACAGAATAAACACATCTAGTGTGTTTTAACAAGAACTGGAGTAGGCAAACAAATGAAAATTAAGAAAGTGAAGAATCTAGGTGGAGATGATAGGTTTTTCAAATGTTATTTAATAAAAAATATCTTTTTTTTTTCTTTCTCAAAATCTCTCTTTCTCCCCCAACCAAAAAAAAAGAATCGAGGTTTGTATCAACTCGTGATCCGAACCGAATCGTGGGTTTGGTGTATCGTTACAGCCCTAATCATAGAGAGTCTGATGTATCATTTATATCCAGGGTTTATCCCACGGGTCCTTGAAATCCTTGAAAGTTTGTGAATCTGAAAAACAAAAGGCCCCGGAAAGTTTTTGAAAATGACCATAATAGATACAGGTCCTTGAAAGTGCTTGAATTTATCTTGTTTATTTAGGTTTTTGGGGGAAAAAAATCCATATTCCCTCCGGTCCGCTAATGTGTTATTTCACCAACACTTCGTGGCCTTTGCACACTAGCTTGCTTGATTTACGTTAGCTACGTGTTACGTTAAGTGTTTCCGCGCGAGGTGCTTTGTGTTGTACGTTGCCATGACGATCACGCGTGCACTAAACGACAACGAAGGAACCTCAACGTTTGGTGTTCGACACTACAAATGTGTTCCTATATTAAGTGCTTGAATTTGAGGGTATTGGACCTGGAAAGGTCCTTTAATTTGAAGTTAACCGAGATGTGGGAACCCTGTATAACGTGGTATGTAAATATTTCCACATAGCACAGTACACTACTATTTATTAGCCAATTTTACACCGCTTCACTAAAAACCACTCCTCTCTGAAACAACGTCACACAAACCTATCATTTCACTAACAAATGGAAGTTTTATCAGAAAGAAATCACTGGAAACTAGCGAGATTGCATTAACGACGAACATGATAAAAGCACCAGTTTGTTGGCATTTTTGTGGTTAACCTAAAAATTTAAAACCCAAGCCAGGGTTCGTACAAGGTGCTGAAGTGCTTGATTTTACTTTTTTTAAATTTAAGTCTTAGAAAACCCCTGAAAAACAGCCATATTTATTGAAAGGTGCTTGAATTATTGAAAGATGATATATATGTGAAAGTCATGTTTAATTTTATTGATAAAACAATCTTTTCACACAAAATTAAAGCTGCAGCTTGTCTTATATAGATTATATAGAGTAATTTCTCATGGCTGTGAGCGTGATATTGCTCATATAAATATCCAAGTATATAATACAGCTTTCATTCTTTAGGTCAATCATATATTAATGGGGGGAAATCAGTTTGAATGAGAAAAGCGAAATCTTTGTCATAGTATAGTCAAAGTTTTCACAGTCATTGCATGTGCTGCACTTTATTTGTGCCATTTTGTTTTATTGGTTTATTTTTATTTATCGATTTACCTTTTTTAGAATTTGAAAGATGACAAAGATAAGTGAGATCTCTGATTATAATCCTTGATAGCCGAAAAAGTAGTGCTTAAAGTCCTGGAATTTAATTTTACAGTATCGGTACGAACCCTGCCAAGCATCGAAGTTTTACACTAATAAGTGATACATGGACCATAATACATTTATTAATGTCAAGATTGCACATTAGTCACACAGAAATAAAGTGGTATTTACCGTTATTTCACAAAAGGAAGAGGACAAACGTACTTATTTAGACACGTCTGTGTTCGTTTATTTGTAATCACAGGACATTGTTTACATCACATTTAGAAAGAACGATCATTTCTATATAAATTCCTCCAAAAATACGACCTGAGGAGCTTAAGCACTCTCTCCAGTGACAGTCCCAATACAGTTATTTAGGAAGTGCTTTAATTATAATTAAAGAGTCAGTCCTAGACCTCCTCCTGTCCGATTTTAGGGAAAAATCCGGTCCATCGGAGACGTCCATTAGATATCTTAGGAAAGAACCACACAGACACAGTGAAATCACCATGGGAAAATCTCACAGTAAAACTTGGAGTTGTGAAAAATATTTTTTTGCCAGATGAGAAGTTTATCTATGTATCATCTTTGTACTCTTAATTCCTTTTATAACTGTTTTAATTTTCCTTGCTAATATTTTAATTCCAGCACTTTGAATTGCCATAGTGTATGAAATGTGCTATATAAATAAACTTGCCTTGCCTATAATATAATAACTATATCTTGATATACCGTTTATCGTGAAATAAAATAAGATTTTGGTCATATCGCCCACCCTAGTCTACATTTAAACTGCTTAAAAAAACCACAAACATAACCTGTCATTAGAAGCCATTGTTTCAGTTGTTATTCAGGTTATTTCAGTCACTTCCCTATAGTATATGATCACATTTTCAAGTGCCTTCCTGAATAATTCACCCAGTCAAGAGTTGAAGAGGTCCGGTCAGTTGGGAACAGACATATAAAAGCCTTCATAATTCATGCATGCTTTATCATTAACAGGTGTTTGGTGTTGGCAACATCAGCCAATCCGCAGCAGCAACGACATTTAAGCCTATAGTTGGTGACACTGAGGGTCACGATAGTCTTCTACTCAGTGAGAATAGCTCAGGCCTAAAACTGGGCCAGTATCCGAAAGACCGTAGTGACACAGACAAGGGTCCAGTACAGGTAAACTCTCACCTGACTATAAACGTTAGCATGCTAACGCCGGATCATGGCCGTCATCTGTCAATCACTGCAATCACTGTGGTTTTATTAGGATCTTTCTTGGGCATCTTCTCAAAGCTGTTTTGATGGGGTTTTTTCCTGCTTTCGGATGATTATGAATGGGTGATTATGGATCTTTAAAGGGCCTGATCTCTTTATATGGTTGAGATATTTTCATTTGGTATATTTTGAAATTTTTCTTTGAATTTACTGTTTGAGTACCAGAATCGATATATTTAGTATGCCAGCATAATTGTAGTAGGTTTTATTTAAATTAAAGGAACTTGAATAAGTTTTTATATTCTTCATTTTAATGTATCTCTTTTTTGTAAAGTAATAATTGTTTTTTTTTAGCATAGCTGTTATTTTTTTAAAACGAGTGAACGCTATGAAAGTTAGAGTTTTAACTATTTGCACAATATTAATTGAAATATTTACAAAGTTTATTCTTAATTTGGGACAGATCTATAAGGATTATTTAATGTAAGTCAGATGTCACCTAAAAGTATATGATATGCAAGGCAAGTTTATTATTTTATATAGCACATTTCATACACATTTTATGTAAAACACTTTAAATTACCACTAAGTAAAAAAAAAAAAAAGAAGAAAAAGGTAAGAAATAGACAAAAAAAAATTCAAAAATGTAATTAAAAATAAATTCTTAAATTAAATAATGTATAAATAAAAGAGAAATAAGATAATGTTATTAGTGTAAGGGTTTTAATAAACATTTTCACAATATTTAATTGCAACATTTGCTCTAAGCAGTTCAGCGCAGTTATTTTATTTTATATTTAAGTATTTATATTATTTTTATATTAACATAAAACTATTTTACAGATGCAGTGAAAATATCTCAACTTTTTTTTAAATGTTTTATTCCACTTTAAACCAATGTGATGTAATAGAAGTGTTTTGTTTGATTAGCTGGTTTGCTCCTCCTCTGCAGATGCAGTCGATGACGACGTTGACCCCTGGAGGCTCTCGCTGGGTCTCGCGCTGGGCCAGTTTGGCCGACACCTATTCAGACTCGGGTCCTGCTTCAGGACTGTTGGATATCCCCACACAGGCTGATCTTTCTACCGGAGGTATGGAAAAGTCGCTTGCTTTCTTCGCTTGTGTCTTTGCTATAGGGCTGCACGATATTAGAAAATACTTGCATTGCGATATTGTTTTTCGACGATATAAATTGCGATATAAAAACTATTTCACCAGATGATTTGAATAGCTCTAATTGAAAATAATGAATCATTCTAGAATGATTAAGGTAATTTTGTAGGGGGGTGCATCTGCATAGAAAATGAAACAAGCATAGATGAATACAATAGAAGAAAGATACAATTGAAAGAAGCAGTGCTTTGTTTTTCAGGTAAATCTAACAGTATTCAGGTACAGAAGTTGAATAATCAAATGTAAAATAACAGTCTTCACTGCATAAATGAAATCTAACTAACTAACTTATATAATTAATTAATACAATTTATCTTTGTTAAAGCTACAAAAATCATTTTTTCTTTCTCTTTTGTTGTTTGATCACCATTGGTGACACGAACAGCGGCGGGGACATTAGGCTGCTGTCCCTTTAAGACAAATGCATGGACCTAATATAAATGACACGCATCCGTTTTCTTTCTCAATTGTTCACAGGGCTCTCAAGTTTTGAAGACAGGCAAGAGTGACATTAATGATTAATGCATCCATGGCAGGATATAATTATAAAATATGACATGATTTTAAAACTATACCATTGACTATGCAATACACTTTAGTGCTAATAAAATTATTAAGCCTATTTGGAGAGAGAGATGTTTATAATGTGACAATATGTCAGTCATCGTGCGATAACGAAAATATGACTAGGCCTAGACTACTTGTTCTGAGCAGGTGTTGTCAGTGAACAGGCTGTAAAACTGTTGGCTAAGTTACAGACACTCATGAAAACTGATGCTAATTATCTGGGAATCATTCTCTAACAACAGTCAAGTTGTCTTTGTTTGTGTCAAACAAATTTGTTGTAACATTAAAACAGGAGATCATGACTCAAAGTAATGCTTTCCTCTGCGGGTGAACGAAACTTTCGGAAGATGTTGCAGCAGAATCACGTGAACAATTTTTTTTTTCATTGGTTGTTGCGTTAAATCTTACCCAGATACAATAGTGCTATTTTCTGATTGGCCATTGTGTAGCCCCTTTCTTCTTTTTTTTTTGATTGGCTGATAAGTGGCAGGCTCGACTAAGAACCTGGGGAGACGCACTTGATTCCTGTCAGTTCCATAGTGACAGCGGTGCGCCCAGAGACATTTTGGGCACTGCGGCATATTGAATATATTATAAATGGTTTTTCCGCGTGAGAAATACAATATGTGTCGGGAGTGCGTGACAAAAGACCGGAATGAGTGACTGTCACGTTCAATGCGTGACACTTGAGAGCCCTGTGATTACAACATATATAACCGACTGTGTTTGGGAGAATACTCGTCGAGACGGACATTTTGACTTCACTTTGCGTGCACGTGTCCGTTAAAGGTCAAAAGAAAGAGAATTCAGCGTGCCTGTGTGGGTGTGTGTGCGTGTGTGCAGAAAACAGTGTGCGAGTCCGCTTGCGCTTGACGCCTAACTCGACTTAAAAACACATGCAAATGATTCTTTCACTCTATGATGGTAAAACTTTGCAAATAATCCGCAAATCACATGAAAAACGATATATCGTGCAGCCCTACTTTGCAAGCTTATTTGATTTTTCCTATTAATTATGTCTTTTAAGCTGGTGAAAGGATCATCCACCAAGTTATGCTTAACCGAATTGCTAACTACTCGGAAACAGGTCATAGCAGCAGATCAAGACGAGTTCTGCCTCCGGTTCCTTTGAAGGAGAAGATTGAGACGCCACCGCCCGCAATACACATCCACCCTGACTCGTACCTGTCCGGTTTGGAGAAGAGTTCGCAAGTTCAGAAGCAAAAGTGGGATCCACAGAAACTAAGTGTCCAAGATGATCTGGATCCAGACAGCTTGAGTGATGCCAGCAGGTCTGATGATGGATCAGTGGTCGAGCAAAGCAGGACGACTCCTGACACAGCTTACAAGACGTGGAACCGGTCTTCAAATACGCAACCCAAGCAAGAAGAGACGAAAGATATGGATTCGCCTCCCAAATTCTCCACCGCTACTTTAACGCGACAGCATGGGAATATTACCAAGCCATCACACATTGATCACCCAAGCAAGGATGACTCTCTTGGTGCGGACAGTTCAGTGTCTATTGTCAGACAAGAAAGTTATACCAAAGTAAGGGCTAGTGATGACATCCAGTTGTCCAGATTGCCTCAGATATCTAGTCAACCCTTAGGCAAAGATGCTTTTAAAGGTGTAAGCAATCAAGACACTCAGTCGTACCTCAAAGACACAGAGGATGTTTTAGCGTCTCTGGAAGCCAAGCTTCTGGACCAGCAGGAAAACAACGGTCGCTCCCATCTGGAGGACTCATTCTCGGAAGAATCGGACACTTCCAGTACAATCAGTGGCAAAAACGCTTTGGTTTCTGTTCCTAAGAAGCTTGTCGACATCAGAGGACTTTTAAAAGGTACCGGACAGTATTCAAGAGAACCCAAGACTCCCGATGATCCATCGTCCGGGATAAAGGACAGTGATGGCAAGAGTTTTCAGCGCCGGCGTAATCTTAGTTCTCACGACTTTGCGCCAGAACATCAAAGTCCCACCGCAAGACGTGACGTCGTTTCCGACCAGGAATCGAATTCCCAACCTTACAAAAAGTACACAATTCCTCTTCAGAAGGAAGGTACGAGCAAATCCAAAGGTACGGTGCAACAAACTCTAGCTCGTTCCAATAGCCTCTCCGCTCCGCGAGCCACGAGAGCTTCAACGCTTCGCCGTTCCCGCTTGGGCGAAGCCTCCGACAACGAAGGCACCGAAACCGACCGAACGTCTCAGAACTCCGACGTCAATCCCTCGGGGAGCACCCGAGGCGCTCAGGAAAGCAAGAAACTCTCTCGATTGGACATTTTAGCTTTGCCTAGGAAAAGGACAAGCTCTTTTAACACTACCAGTGACACGGAGTCTTCCGCGAGCCGGACTGGGTTTTCAAACCGAAGCACGGAGTCGGGAAGCTCCGTGCGGAAAGCTTCAGTGCCGGATCCCAAGGCTCTTCTAAGGAAGGTTTCGAACGCCATGAACAGGCAGCCGATCGTACGCGGACGCTCGAGCAGCGCTAAATACGCCAGCAGCACTGCTAGTGAGTATCATGCTTCAGAAGGGCTTCTGTGTTTGATTATTTCATTGAGAGATTTGCCTAAACATTGGCCAATGCAAGGTAAACGTTATTAACCCTCTGGTGCTCTAAAGTTTTACACATTTTTCTTTTTCTTCATCGGAATGGTACGAAACTTGGTAAAGTTTTCGGTACTTGCTATGTGAACACACAAAATAATCATGGACATGATTCAATAAGGTTAAATGGGACTGAAAAAAATAGTCACACTTGTACTCCTCGTGGTTAAAAATGAGCACATTGGAAATTAACGAATTTCATCTAGTGGGAACTTGTGGTACTGCGGCCAAACAAAATCTTACTGAAAACTCAAATTTTGATTTTTGATTTTTTTTCTCAGTTTTAGAGTGATACATGTTTAAAAAAAAAAAAAAATGTATGTAAAAATTTTAAATGGTATTTTTGCACATTTCCCATAGCAATACACGTACAATTCTGTAACACTTTTTTTTTTTTAAGTTCACTTTTTACAACTTTTTTTCACTTCAGCAATAATCTGCCAAGTGTCGTTTTTGAAAAGAGATCAAACTTAAGTCAGTGCTAAAGGATTCAAGATTTAAGACTATTTTCAGGTCTATGCTCAAAAAGTGAATAAATTAATTATAAATACAGCGTTAATATAATTTAGTACCATAAAATCCTTGGCGAAAAAAACAAAAGTACAAGACTTTTCTGATGTGAAATTCTTTCACTTTTCTCTGAATGACTCTTCCAACGATCATTGACTTGATTTGTGCGCGTTTGTTTGTATCGCACAATTGGGCTAATGAACGTCTTTAACTAACAAGTCTCTAAATTCAAAAAATAATAATATTGGAGACAACTAGATCACCATACTAAAAACTTAACCGGTATATTGTGAAAATCAAGGTAATTTTTTTTTTCCTGATGGGATTAACAATCTAGAGTCCATTTGGGCAATTGGACCCCATTGACAAATGGGAAGTGGTTGTTGGTTTTTCGGGTGTCTTATTCTGTCTTTTTCTACGTCTGCTTTTTTATTTTGGTTTCTATCCCATCCTCTGATGACTTGGTGTGTACCAAACGCTCCCCCTTCCCAATTCCCTGGGCCAAGGCTCCAGGAGGCGTCAGAAGGGTTCAGACTACGCCTCCACCTCAGAGGATGAGTACGAGTCTAACCTTAGCACCCCTAAACACAAACGCTCCCATCATTCAGGGGCCCAGCAGAACCCCAGTCTCCATCCAGCAGGTCCGGTGCGAGCCATGCCCCGGTCCAGAGACTCCGAGGGGGAAGGACACGAGAGCGACGCCTTCCAGAACTGGACGTCTCATAGCGCCGAGATTGCCAGGTGAGGACGGATCGAACATATAGGGCCCTATGATTTCTGTGGAAAATGCAGATGGAATCGCATAATCAAGTCATAAAAATTAAATTTGACAAATTTTGGATTGTCGCCTTTTTTCGCCCGTGTCGCCATTGGCTTTTGGCCTGCTAAGTTGGGGATGTTTAATTTAATATTCAACAATATTATTAATCTGCCTCCATTGACACCATTATATGAGAACTGAGCTGGACGATGACATCACGGTTCTCCAGAGCGGCTATACATATATAAATGAACTAAATTAATAACTTTTTTACAACAAAAATGAACCATAACTGAACTCACTTAAGCTGGACTGTGACTAGGGCTGCAACTAACGATTATTTTGATAATCGATTAATCGGACGATTATTTTTTCTATTACTCTGATCAAAATTTCAATTAGATTTTTTGTTTATTATAACTAAATAAAACCCTAAATCAGGGTTGTGGCGAGCAGGACGAGGCCGCTCTCTCACGTCGGCCTCGTCCTGCTCGCCACAAGGGTATTTATGTGTAAAAGTGTACTTTAAAAAGTGCAAAAGCCACACATTGAGTTTTACTAATATCAATATTTGCATTGTTTTTAATGATAATTGCTGATGGCAAGTTGACAACCAATGATTAATGTAAAAAAAAAATGATATCCAACATATTATGTTTTAACACAATTTTTGTTAAAACAAATTTACACAGACATGTTGTTCAGATGTGAAGATATAAACTAAAAGCATCTCAAATATATAATTAATTTAAATTAATTGAATTATAAGGATAAATTGATTTAAATAAATATAGAAAGACTGAAAACAAGCGTGTGAACGTAGAGCCGCAGTAGATCGCGTTTGAAAAACAATTCAAACTTAATAGTAGACAAACTCTATAGACCTTATGTAGCCCCGCCCCTTTTCAGCGATGAGCTCGTTGTCTTTTGACTTCCGGTCTGTATTTTCACAGCGATCTTGCATAGGTATGAATGAACTGGTCGTAAAAAATGTCCCGGTCGACATTTGTTAAGACATCTGCTTTACAATGCTTATGATAAACATTACAATGCTCATGATAACTTTTGTTAACTCTACAATAAGTAAATCCACTTCACCAGCTAATTACTCCTGGATGGAGTATACAGCGATGCCATAGAAATATACAGAGCGACCGCAAAAACGGAAGTTCAAAGACAATATTCTAAAGATGATGGCGCCCACGTTTCTCTGGTGCATAAGGTCTATAAAAAGAAAACGGAATGGAGGTACGCAGAGAAAGCTAACAGGCTTGATTAAAAGGACAGGAAAAATTATGCATTAGTGCACAAGCATTCGCTGAAAACCACTGAGTACAGTGACTAAAAAACACTCTTTTACTGCTGCTGTTATTAACTGCCTTTATATTTAGTGCTTCACTTTGTAAACACCGTTTTAATTTAATATTTCTGCGGTAGCGCTATTTTAATCCATCAGTTATGTTGTGAGCGAACAGTTTGCGCAACCTGATCCTCGAAACAAAATACAGACATCCCAACTCTGGCTTGTAAACGCCTTCGAACTTCCATTGGTCCATGATAATTGTGTAATAAGTGGGTGTGGCTCTGAGGCTCCGCCTTCTTTGTGGTGTAAATCTTCGGTTCAGTCCCTCATTTAAATTTTTCATATTTTAATGATAAGAAGACATTTATTAGGCTTTGTTTTTGTTCACATTTTCATTTTTATTCACGAATTTACAGGACAAGCATATATATGCTAGATTATGCATTTATTTATTTATGAACAGAAAGTTGAAGAGAGACTGTGGGTCACTTTTCAGGTTTCATCATGAATGTTTGTCCAATAAATCGCAAATATATTTGTGCTTTGTTACTTTTAACACGGATATGAAACAAAGTCTCAAAATTAAATTTTATCATTTACCATTTTATCACAAAATTAAAACAACGAATGCCGTTTTGGCGCTCTTTAATGTGGCAAATGAGTTTAAAGCAATACGTGAAATAAAGTATCTTACATTGAAGGTAAAGCCGGTGGTTTAAAAAATAAACCAGAACTGCACGCATATCTTAATGTAATAAATGTTTGTTTTGATTAGTTATTCATGCCAGGGTTAGGAGCATCCTTAAAATAGGTACAGGTCATTTAGGTTTGTATTTGTATTGTATTTGTATGTATTTGTATATGTTTAGCTTTATTCTATGATTAGTAGTTTTATTTTATTTTAGAAAAGCCTTTCTAAGGACCCGAGACGCAAATTAGCTTTTACTATATAGCTATACTCTCGATGTGCAATGCATATTTTCCAGGTTTCGACTGGTATCATGTTTTTTTTTTTTTTTTTTTTTTTACTGTCCGTATAAAAAAAACCCCGGATAAATAAATAAAAATAAAATAATAATAATCCAGTCATAAAAATGAAATTTGGCAAATTTTGGATGAATAAATCGAAAGTAGGGTTGTACACTTAAAGCCCTGATAAGCGAAATCATTTTACATTTACATTTATGCATTTGGCAGATGCTTTTATCCACATTGCATTTCAAGGCACACATTTACATTGTTATCAGTTCATGCTTTCCCTGGGAATTGAACCATGACCTTAGCGTTGCAAGCACCAACACTACTGTTTGAGCTACAAATCAGCGACGAACTGGTGTGAGGTCATTTTGAACAAAATCTGGCCAAAACCAAGTTCGTTTCCGGTATTCAAAACTTTTTGGAAAAGTTCACTCCGTCTTGTAAACGCCTTCGAACTACCATTGGTCCGTATACTGGGATAACCTGTCATCTCTTGAGACTCCCCTGCTAGTTCACTGTTAATGATATGCTAAACCCCGCCCACACGTTGATCTGATTGGTTACAAGGTCGTTTGTGACGTCAGAAACACCAGCGATTTCAAACCGTGTTTTTGAGACTGTCTTTGGTTCACTGCAGTTTTAAGGAGGAAATAATCAGCAATGCTGTCGACTTATGAACTTACACATGGTTTGTCTTAAAGCATATTAAAAACACCACATAGACACATAAACAACATTAAAAACTTGATTTTCAACACAGGGGGACTTAAAAGGTTTCACTTGATTGATTAATAACATTTAATTAAACCATTAAAACGAAATCCAGAAAAAATGTAAACAAAAACATGGAATTTGGAAAAAAATAGGGCCCTAAAAAGTCATTTTTGTTAAACTTTTTACAAATTGTATACGTTTCATGATTTAAATTAGTTAGACATGCTTTTTGATTACTAAAATTTAAATGAACTATTAGAAGGGAAAACACCTGGATATTCAAGTGAAACTCGAAAAATTAGAATATGGTGCAAAAATTCATTTATTTCAGTAATTCAACTTAAAAGGTGAAACTAATATATTATATAGACTCATTACATGCAAAGTGAGATATTTCAAGCCTTTGTTATAATTTTGATGATTATGGCTTACAGATATGAAAACCTTTTCACAATATTCTAATTTTGAATTTGGAGTTTTCATAAGCCATTATCATCACAATTATAACAAATAAAGGCTTGAAATATCTCACTTTGCATGTAATGAGTCTATATAATATATTAGTTTCACCTTTTAAGTCGAATTACTGAAATAAATGAACTTTTGCACCATATTCTAATTTTGAGTTTCACCTGTATACAATCCACAACAAAGTTTTAATAATAGTTGGAGAATGTTTTAACCACATTTTGATTGACTTAATCTCACGTTCAGTTTTCAGAGCTGTGTGTGTGTGTGTGTGTGTGTGTGTGTGTGTGTGTGTGTGTGTGTGTGTGTGTGTGTGTGTGTGTGTGTGTGTGTGTGTGTGTGTGTGTGTGTGTGTGTGTGTGTGTGTGTGTGTGTGTGTGTGTGTGTGTGTGTGTGTGTGTGTGTGTGTGTGTGTGTGTGTGTGTGTGTGTGTGTGTGTGTGTGTGTGTGTGTGTGTGTGTGTGTGTGTGTGTGTGTGTGTGTGTGTGTGTGTGTGTGGGGGGGGGGGGGGTTTTCGGACTCAGACATGCATTGACTGTACCCAGTGTAGATGTCGTTGATTACAATGGGAATCATCATAGGTGTAGACCTAGGTCAATTCTTCATGCATTCCAGCTTTATTTGTCAATAAATAAGTTAATTAATTGCACACTTGGTACATCTTTGAAAAATGACTTACTGTGCGTTCACACCGCGACGAAGCCGTGGAAAGATTCGTGGACGCTCTGACGTAGATCGAATGCTTAGTCTTTTTTAAAACTTTATTTAAAGGGGCCGCAAAGAAAACAAGCATGTCTAGCGTTATTGATGCAGACTGACCATAGGGTATAAGCTAACCTCATGGAATCTTTTAAATGTGAAAGTAAGAAATTGATCCATGGAAAGAACTTAACAATTATAATGACATGTTTGCTAACGAAATAAACCAATTACAAGCCATTTGTGTTGTGTGGCTTTTGTGTTCATGGTGAAGTGCTAATCTAACTTGCATTCCCGCTGAAAAACAAGCGTTCTAGCGCGAAAATCTTGCCTATAAATAGTGTTGCGCACCTTCTTATCAAATTTAAATGATCATCCTCTCCTCTATTTTGCTTGGGAACTAATGTGGTCGGAACTAAAGTTTACACTGCGTTCCCTGGACTCATCTCGAACGGAGCACTTCTACATTCCCATTGGTTGCCGCCGAACCGCGTCATCGCTCATTACCATAAAGTTGACTTGACTTCAACTTCTCCGCGCCGCGCCGCCGGCTCACATTGTAAATGAATGACTTCCGGCCACTTTGACGCTCTCGCCGGCGGCGGTGTGAACGCACGGTTATAGTGTGAATTCAAATTATGCATTAATTCCCCCAAAAAACAAAATAATTATTACTTGTACTACTGCATTGCCCCTAACTTTTTTAAATGTTTGTTTTGATGTCAAATTGCTTCTCTAAAAATGTCATTTTTCTGCATGTTCTTTGCTAGATTGAGTCAGGACCTGGCCAAAGATCTGGCTATTCTGGCCCAAGAGATTCATGATGTTGCTGGAGATCCAGAAGCTCAGAGTGTTTCTACAGACAAGATGGGACCCGCCATATCTGCCCACGAGGAGGTGCTGTTCCTGCATTTCTTTGATCAAAAATACAGGGGGAAAATAATGAAATATTATTATGATTTTTACAATAGCTGTTTTCTATGTGAATACAGTAAAGTGTAATTTATTCCTGTGATCAAAGCTGAATTTTCAGCATCATTCCTCCAGTCTTCAGTGTCACATGATCCTTCAGAAATCACTCTAATATGAGGATTTGATGCTCAAGAAACATTTATGATTATTATCAATGTTGAAAACAGCTTCATATTTCTGTGAAAACCATTATAAATGTTATTTTTCAGGATTCTTTGATTAAATTGGAAGTTCAAGAGACCAGCATTAATTTGAAATAGAATCTTTTGTAACATTATAAATGTCTCTTTTGATCAATTTACTTCATCCTTACTGAATAAAAAAACTTCTTTCAAAGACCCCAAAATACTGTATAGTTACAAACTTAATGTATACATCTAAAACAACTGATGTTTTCTGCTATTTTCAAACAGGCTTGAGTATCTATAGTGTTTTATGTGCGGAAAGGGTTCTTTCACTTAAGAAGTCCTGTTATTCTTTCTCATGTTTTATCCACATAACCACGTTTTTTTCATGCTCTACACTTTTTTTTATTGTTAACTAAAAATAAAAACAGAAAAGAAAAAAATGTTTAGTACTTGAAAAAAATATATATTACAGTTCGTTCAATGAAGTTCAGTTAGTATGTATGCATGTATGTATGTGTAGTATGTGTGTATGTGTAGTATGTATGCATGTATGTATGTATGTGTAGTGTGTATGTATGCGTGTGTGTATGTGTGTATGTGTAGTATGTTTGTTCTTAGTAACATTTATTCAGGGAAAGACAAAAAGAGACTCGCCTTGTTTGATGTTTTCAGTGGTGGAGAATCATCAGCCGCATTGATTTTCGCCTCCATTTCACTCAAAACATCCATCTTATTATGAAACAAAACCCTGAAAAAATATGACAATATGTGAAAATGAAAAAAATCAGGCATTTAACTAGCTAGAGATTCAGATTCAGTGTTTTATTTAGTGCCATGTCAGCATCCAAGGCTGTTTCCATGGCAAACATTAAATTACAAAAATACAAATATCTCATATAAATACAATACTTTTCATGTTGTTGTTTTTCAGTTGCGGCACCAGATTCCCGAAGCCAGTGTGAGTTTCCAGAAAGAGTCTCCAGTGGCAGCGCCGGTGTGTGAGGAGTCTGAGGGCCCGAGTGCGAGGCAAGACGAGGTACCAGTGCTTTCCTTCAGCCGACGCTTCGGGGTCGCTCACCAGGGCGGCACGATTAATTGCAACGAAACCACAACGCGATTTGCGATTATTTTATACACAGCTGGTCAGTGCAGTGCGGCTGATCGGTAGTAAACGCTGCTTCATCTGAACGCCAGAGGGCGCTCTCACACAGACACACACACCACATATCTCTCTGAACACCAGAGGGCGCTCTCACGCAGACACACACACCACATATCTCTCTGAACACCAGAGGGCGCTCTCACGCAGACACACACACCACATATCTCTCTGAACACCAGAGGGCGCTCTCACACAGACACACACACACCACATATCTCTCTGAACACCAGAGGGCGCTCTCACGCAGACACACACACCACATATCTCTCTGAACACCAGAGGGCGCTCTCACACAGACACACACACACCACATATCTCTCTGAACACCAGAGGGCGCTCTCACACAGACACACACACCACATATCTCTCTGAACACCAGAGGGCGCTCTCACGCAGACACACACACCACATATCTCTCTGAACACCAGAGGGCGCTCTCACGCAGACACACACACCACATATCTCTCTGAACACCAGAGGGCGCTCTCACGCAGACACACACACCACATATCTCTCTGAACACCAGAGGGCGCTCTCACGCAGACACACACACCACATATCTCTCTGAACACCAGAGGGCGCTCTCACGCAGACACACACACACCACATATCTCTGAACACCAGAGGGCGCTCTCACACAGACACACACACCACATATCTCTCTGAACACCAGAGGGCGCTCTCACACAGACACACACACACCACATATCTCTCTGAACACCAGAGGGCGCTCTCACGCAGACACACACACCACATATCTCTCTGAACACCAGAGGGCGCTCTCACGCAGACACACACACCACATATCTCTCTGAACACCAGAGGGCGCTCTCACGCAGACACACACACCACATATCTCTCTGAACACCAGAGGGCGCTCTCACGCAGACACACACACCACATATCTCTCTGAACACCAGAGGGCGCTCTCACGCAGACACACACACCACATATCTCTCTGAACACCAGAGGGCGCTCTCACGCAGACACACACACACCACATATCTCTCTGAACACCAGAGGGCGCTCTCACACAGACACACACACACCACATATCTCTCTGAACACCAGAGGGCGCTCTCACGCAGACACACACACCACATATCTCTCTGAACACCAGAGGGCGCTCTCACACAGACACACACACCACATATCTCTCTGAACACCAGAGGGCGCTCTCACGCAGACACACACACCACATATCTCTCTGAACACCAGAGGGCGCTCTCACGCAGACACACACACCACATATCTCTCTGAACACCAGAGGGCGCTCTCACGCAGACACACACCACATATCTCTCTGAACACCAGAGGGCGCTCTCACGCAGACACACACACCACATATCTCTCTGAACACCAGAGGGCGCTCTCACGCAGACACACACCACATATCTCTCTGAACACCAGAGGGCGCTCTCACGCAGACACACACACCACATATCTCTCTGAACACCAGAGGGCGCTCTCACGCAGACACACACCACATATCTCTCTGAACACCAGAGGGTGCTCTCACGCAGACAAACACACCACATATCTCTCTGAACACCAGAGGGCGCTCTCACGCAGACACACACCACATATCTCTCTGAACACCAGAGGGCGCTCTCACGCAGACACACACACCACATATCTCTCTGAACACCAGAGGGCGCTAAGTACAATAACACATTCCAGGAAATCCCTATCGGGCATCATCGCTGTAGTTGAATAAACAGAAGATTTAAACACTTTGATTGTTGATTAAACACGACTAATAAACACACGACTGCCTTATTCTGTGTCAGAAGCGCATCGTCTCACAGAAGGATGATCAACTGTCCTTATGAAGTGAGTTTGGAGTAAAGAATGTTATAAATGCTGTCTTTTGTTGGACAGGAGGTTCATAAATCCTTCTCATGTTTGAAAAGATGTTTGACGTGTGTTGCTTTTTCAAATGCACAATAAATGTGACTCAAACTCACAGTGCTTTCAGAGTGAGCAGTGTTTACAGAGCCGTGCTTCACTGACAAGCTGCACATAACAAACAATCACAGCCTGTGCAATTTCAAAATCGCGATAAGCCAAATCGGTTTAAAGTGCGATTACATGGAAATTGCGAATAATCGTGCAGCCCTTTCGTTCACTGACTCCTGTAAATAAAGCTGTAAACCTCGTTCTTCTCCTCAGGTTGCGCTCAACAACGTGATGCTGAATCCAGTGTCCCAGCTGTCCCTGGCCATCCGCGAGAACACTGAGCAACTGACCGAGAAGATCAAGTGAGAGTTTCACAAGATGCTTTTCATGTTGTTGCTTTAATATGTTTATTAGGGGTGTAACGATATACATATTCGTATTGAACCGTTCAGTACGAGGCTTTCGGTTCGGTTTTCGGTACGCATTTTTAAACCGAACGGTTCGTTGAACCATTTTTCCTGCCGACCAAAATTTTGTTATTTCAAATGTAGGCGCGTCGCGCGCTCATAATGTAAGAGATGCTGGCGTGACCACAACATTGCCCAACATCAAATGGCAAATGTAATGTAAGCGGAACGAAACCACTCGTTATTGTGTGGTTGACGGACCGTTTATCAGTTTGGACCAATGCAGCGCGAGCCGATCTTAAAGGGATACTCCACTTTTTTTGGAAATAGGCTCATTTTACAACTCCCCCAGAGTTAAACTGTTGAGTTTTATATATATATATACTCTATATATGAGTGCAGCAGGCGTAATGATATGACGCAGCGCCTGAAAATTGGCCACCTTCCGCCAACACAACGGAACTATTTTCAGGCGCTGCATCATATCATTACGCCTGCTGCTCTCATGGTACGGCAGTGAAGTTTCTTGATTATTACGCAGGAATGAGAGTATAGTTCCTAGCCATATCAGCCTAGAAAATCGCAACTTTACATTTTCCATCGGTCTTAGTGCACGATGTAACTACAGAAGAGTCAAGTTTTAAATAGAAGAAATATCAAAACTCTTTGGTCATTTTTTTTTTAGAAATGCTAATGGTCTTGTCCACTTCAATGATGTATGCTAAGCTATGCTAAAAGTGGTACCGCCAGAACCGGAGATCGGCTGAATGGATTCAAAAACGGTAAAACTCAACAGTTTAACTCTGGGGGAGTTGTAAAATGAGCCTATTTCCAAAAAAAGTGGAGTATCCCTTTAATCATCAGCACTGTTACTACACAGCCGAATCCAGTAAAGAAAGCATTTGAGTTCGCCACTGAAGTAATAACATCGCTGCGAGATCTAGTGAGAAACATTCGCATTTCTCCGTTATTAACGGATCAAACAGCGCTGACGTGGAAACCAGGAAGAGACATTGTGCCATGAATGAACTATCCAGTGTCCACAGATCAGCAATTCACCATGGATTTACTGTATAACACTACTAACTGTAACCATGGGAGTTTGGCAGGAATAGCTGGCTATAATGCTTTCAAGTAACATCACGTCGGTTTTATTTTGACATTATGAATACGATTGCTGCCCTCAAATGTTAATCTGAACTAAAATAAACCTTTGTTTATAACTACTACAATATTACATTTAATTTTGACCAAGGAGCTGTTTTGTTTTATAAGCTCCTAAGAAAAGTCAAGTATAGCTCCATCATTGCTCAAAGTTAAAAAATATCATACTTTATGATGTTAGTTTTAATAAAAATATAATTTAATAAAATTAAATCAAGGAAATTTCTCTGGCATTTGTTTCTTTTTGCTGTATCGAAAACGTACCGAACCGTGACACAAGTGTATCGTATCGAACCAAACGTGAATTTTGTGAACCGTTACACCCCTAATGTTTATGTAATCTCTTTTTACCCTGTTTTTATATTCTTGTAGCAAGCGAAGACCCAACTATATGCATGTTTTGTAAGATTCCCCTAACCTTTAAACATATTTTATTAGATTGTCCTGGACTTAATACAAGTAGAAGGCTTTTTTTATGAAGTTTCCTCACTTTAGGACTTTAGTAAGATTATGCCTGAAAAGGTTTTGGATTTTTTATCATATGTTAATTTAAAAAATCTTGTATAATATGACTTGCTGTTTGTGTTTGTTTGGTTTTTATTGTATTTATATGATATTTGTATTTTTGTAATTTAATGTTTGCCATGGAAACAGCCTTGGATGCTGACATGGCACTAAATAAAACACTCTGAATCTGAATCTCTAGCAAATTAAATGCCTTATTTTTTCATTTTCACATATTGTCATATTTTTTCAGGGTTTTGTTTCATAATAAGATGGATGTTTTGAGTGAAATGGAGGCGAAAATCAATGCGGCTGATGATTCTCCACCACTGAAAACATCAAACAAGGCGAGTCTCTTTTTGTCTTTCCCTGATTAAATGTTACTAAGAACAATCTGAACTTCATTGAACGAACTGTAATACTTAAAAAAAAAAAAAAAATTAAGTACTAAACATTTTTTTTCTTTTTTCTGTTTTTCTTTTTAGCTAACAATAATAACCCTAGCTGGTTTATATCTAAAGTGTTTTGGTAACACTTCACAATAAGGTTACATTTGTTAACATTTGTTAGTACATTAACTAACAATGAGGAATATATTTTTACAGCATGTATTAATCTTTGTTAGTGTTTAAAAAAAAGTTCATGTTAGCTCAGTGCATTGACTAATGTCAACAGATACGACTTTTGATCTTAAAAACGTATCAGTAAATGTTGAGATTAACATTTTTTGTTCATAGCTATTGTTACCAAGTTTTTAATACTGAATAGTTGTTTGTGACAAATGTGTCATTGCTCTTGTCATCATTTTGTCTTCTTTTTATCTCGTCTTGTAGGAAATTGCATCAATTCTGAAAGAGCTGAGGAGAGTTCAGAAACAGCTGGAAGGTCAGCGATGCTCTTTCTTCTGTCCTTGCCAAAGTCTAGTCACGCTCATTTATACTGCGCTTTAACAATATAGAGTTTCACAGCAGCTTTACAGTGATAATAGATTACAGTAACAGAGAGTGTTTAGGCTTTACAGCAGCTCTAGAATAAAGTTATTGTCCAGATAAAGTTAGTTTTGATTGATTCACTTCTGTTGTAAAGATCATTAGTTATTAACTTAGGGGGGCGCTAACACGACACCGTTTAACTGGAAACATGAACTTTTAGTGTTCATTTGCATGATAATGGTGTTTGGTGCTCGAGAACGCAAACTTTAAAACCGGTTCCAAGGTGCAAGCGTTGAAGAAAACGTTATAATCTCCGCGTAAACTTCAAAAACGTGAATCTGTGAAAACGCTGACGGCGTGCACATGCGTGTTACGTGTTTAGTCTATAGATATGCTTGTGTGAATTAGGGCTGTCACTTTACGTTCGAAAATCGATTGCACAATCGATCGGACCAACCAACACAAGTTTCGAAAACGAAAATAGGGAATCGATTTTAACGACATTTTTTCTTTTCTTTTTACCAAAAATGTGTGTTAGGTGGACAGATCAATACAGCACACAGAACATGTAGGATGCTGGAAAATAACAATGTCGTTTCTGTTAACCAAATGCTTTTTAATATTCGCTTTTACTTCAATGCAAGTGAACAAGCGCGCCATTATGTGTTGCGTAGTGACGTGTGTGTTCAAGTAAGCCAGAAATGAGCAGATTCTGCAATACGCTGTATTTAATATATCATGAGGATCACGAGTTGCGTATTTGCGCTAAATCCGCACAGATTTGGCGTACACGAACTTCCCCAGCAAAGTGAGTAAACACAGAAACACGCCAGATTGGCTCGTGATTCGACAGCGTTTCCCGCCAAAGTTCATTTGCACCCGCATCTGGCGAGTCGAGGGTGTTAATCTCAATCCCTGAATGTTGCGCTCCTGTTTGTCATTGTGCTGAAACTTCACGCCAATAAATCATCAGGAATATTGCTGACTTGTGCGTCTCAAGCGCCCTCTTTACGCTCGTCCTAATGCCTGTTAGGTGTCCGTGGATTTGCCTGTATTTGGTGTTGAAAATGGAAACGTCTTTAGACATGGAAAATCAATTTCACAATCGATTCAATGAACACTTATGTCTCAAATCGTGACCAAAAAAGTGACAGCCCTATTGTTAATATATATGTGCGCAGGCGTGTAGTCTTTCTTTACAAATTGACCTCGCCAAATTACTTGTCTGGCCTTAAAGGGGTCATATAATGCCATTTTTGTACAAGCTAATATGATTCTTTAGGGTCTAAATTAAAAGTTTGTAATATACTTTAATTAAAAATTCTCATTAGTATTGTAAGAAAATACTTATTTTACCTGGTCAAAAACAGCTCTGTTTTCAGCACGCCGTTTCAGTGCATATGACTTTAAATGATAATGAGCTTTGCTGACTCCGCCTCTCTGTTCTGTGCGTACACCGTTTGTAACACAATAACACAATAACCACAACGCGTTGTTCAGTATAAACGTGGGATTATGAATTATATTCAGAACGTCATACATAGAAAACATGCCGTAATGTACCCTAAGTGTAAACCTTAGACGCATTCATTGTGAAGTGTGCAGCTAGCGATTTGCAAAGATTAATATAAATATTAATATAAAGTTTAATAAAACGTTACACTCACTTCAGTTCTTCTAGAGGTTCAGCAGGAACACGAATATCTGCTACCGATCCTTTTTTCATGAGCAGCTTCTTAGCAAATCCAGCTTTATACTGACCCTCGTTTATAAAGCAGTCTGGTGAGAAATGATTCGCGCAAACATGAGAGCATTGACGTTGCTCGTGGGGAATATTCCCTTCGAAAACAAACTCAGCCACTGCGTCTTCAGCGGTTCGGGTTTAGGAACATTAAAATGACTTGTCTGGCCTTAAAAATTCATAATACAGAATTTTTTGTTGCTTCCACGTATCCATGCATACTGGAATCATTTTGTTTCATGAAATTACTCCTGAAATGAGCTTCAGATGGAGAGATAACTCGCTCGTGTCTCCTTCAGTCATCAACACCATCATTGATCCGCGAGGAAACCCGGATCTCGGCAGGACGTTTTCGTCGGCAGGGGTTCGCAGTTCCAGAGCCTCGTCCCGGGACTCGAGGTCGTCACACCGAGGAGGAGGACCGACGCCGAACCCCCGACGCGCGTTCAGAAGCTCAGACCGGGAAGGGTCACTGGTATGACCATCTGTGTGTGTGTGTGTGTGTATCATCACTCGTCACTTTGCTAATGGTTTCAGCACAAGGCTAAATCTATGTTGGCTGTTCAGAATCAAGCACGTCTAGTCCGATCGCTGCTTTGGCACAAGCTCCTCATGAAAATCACAGGCATTCGAGAGAATATGATACGTTTAATATATATTTGCACATTTATATTTGCTCCAAACCGACTTCAACAGCTTGTGGCGTTCATAATGCAATGATTGAGAAACCGCACAGATTTTGCCATTACATGTAATAACTGTAAATACACTGTTTATGATTTTTTTTTTGTGTGCTCTTTGTCACTTTTTCTTTTTGATGGTTGTTATGGATATATTAGTACAAGTAATTTACATGATTATTTAAATCTCTGTCGGACAGGGTATTTGTATGTTAAAGATCATTAAAGAATTCATATGTAACCGTTTTGCTCTTTTGTCATTATTTCCACGGAGGTTTTGTTTTTCTGATATCATAATGAGCTCATGATGTTGATCTACATTAATCTCAGATCAGTATAAACTGGTTAATGACCCTGACTAGTTATTTTAACTGGAGTTAAGAGCTCCGGCACCTCCATAACACTTGCATGAACATGATGTGCAACTGAAGGTCCGGTCGTGTTTCTCCCGAAATGAAAGTGAAACTCTGAGCAGTCGGGAGTTTCTGACACTCTTTCATGGTCTTTAATGCCTGTATGACGTGTGTTCGGACAAACTCAAGTGCACTGAACGAGGTATGAAATATTATTCGGCATGCATACAGTATATTATAATATATTAACATGTCTGAGTGTTAGACATCGAAGTTGTAAACAAAGATTGTTGGAGGTTTCACGAGAAAATACTGCCTCAGTCTTTCTTTATTCAATGTTTATTTCTGTCACCTGCCGTTTCTTTGTAATTTTGAAATTTACTAGCAATTTTTGAGTGAAAATTGTTTAATTTAATCATATACCAAATATTTTTCAGTGTGGTTTATATACAAATGCTGCCTTAAAATCTGTGCATTTAACTCTCAGAATATCCAAGCCTATAATCAACCTTTAATTGTGATCCTCTTTATGCAATTTTATAAAAACATTCATATTTTAAAACCGATTTTGATGCATAAATGTGCTTTATATAAATCTGATTTCCTTCTATCAAAGTATTTGATTTTGATGTCAGTGTGTTTAAGCACAGCTGAAGCTATTATTAATTCATTTATTTTGATCATACCATGTTGTAGAGCATGTGTATACCATTGTAATTATTACCTGTGTATCCTTTTCAGACAACTTGTCTGTCAGTTAATTATATTTAAGATGTGATTAGATGCTTGAAAGCTCTTTTGATCATTACATAAATGTTAAAGTGCCATAAAAAAACAGAAATGAAAAGCGAATGAGGAACTAATGACTATTTGAGTATTTCCCTTTGTGCTTCACACAAGAATACAATCAACACCTGCTCAGCAACATGTCTGAGTAAGTTCACTGCACTTTATCACGTATAACTGACTGTGTTTTGTTGATTTATAACAGAAATATAAACATGTATCAGCTGTAGATTGGATGATGCTTGTACCAACTCTTTCTCTGAACAGTTAGTCCATATCAATCAGCTTTTACATGTTCTACTTTTAGATCTTCACGCTTACGAGATGTTAAAAAACGGACCTCTTATCAGAGCTTACATGACAATTATGTGTCAAATACCAAGGTAAGTGACGCTTTAAATGGGCTTTATGTAATCATTTTCATGTATTAGTCAACTTTTATTGCCAATTTGGGAACTTAAAAAACGAGAGTTCCCCGACTTCAGGGTGAAAGCCTGTGTAGATTGATTTTTTTGTTTTATGTGAAGGACTCGGGACGTTTTTGCCGGGAAAATCAAAATGATGTTACGGTTACGCGCGCTCCCGAGAACGTCTCTTTTGATTACCTCATCTGTCGACGTTATTAATCGTAGATCTGGTTCAAACATATCCACATCGCTACGTTTTCTGAACTGCTGCTTTCTGTCATTTTTGTTTATTTAATTATTGAGAGGAAAGCGCAGCACATATTTATACATTCCCAGTTCAAACTGACATTGAATAAACTTAGAAATTACGTTTCTCGTGACATCGAAACAACGAAGTAACGTTTTACGTCAGACAGACACGCCATTTAAAACTAACGGAAAATCGACGCAATTGGTTTGCTTTCCAACGTTGAAACGATGTTAATTTCAGTTGGATGAAACGATGTTGTACAATTAACACTTTTTCTACTTATTTCTACCTATATTACCTTATTTCTTATTACCTATCTTATTATAATAGATAAATTAGCCTGTATGGTAATAATTTATTAAACGCACAGATCAGATTCAGTTATCATTGCTTTATTATTTATACAAAATATGAATTTTTACATACGTTTTTAGAGCATACTACCCTCTAGACAAATATAGAAAAGGTATTAACACTCAAATACACAGAAAAAAATGTAAAAGTAAATTAAAGTCTAACATAATCTAATAAATATAGTCTCAAATTACAAATTAAAAGTGATATTTACTCATGTTATTTTGTGCCAAATGTGTATGAGTTATTTTCAGTGGGGCACAAGGAGATGCAAGGCAGAAAGTTAAGAGACTGACTTCGGGATGTTCGTTAACTATACCGCTGCAAAGATATTCGTTAACTATATCGCTAATAACAAGGGTTTCTGAATTCTACATATAGACCCTTTAAACAGCATCTCATCCACAGGTTTGATGATTTATATATCTAATATGGACATGATGTTTTTCTGTTTGCAGGAATCAAAGTGCTCTCTTTCTGTCCTGTTGGCCACTGGATGTTTAATCGTCTTAGGGGTTTTATTGGCCATCGTGGTAATAGAGAAATTAAAGAATGAAGATGACACACCGGCATGCTGTAACTACACCGTCCCCAATGAGCACAGCAGGTGAGCGGACTTCCTGTTTTCATGATTTCACTTCCTGTCACCTTTGAGTTTAAGACGAGCTTCTCTTTATCTTTTGATTTTGTTGACTATGACAGCTGACCTTTAGTTTAGATTCAACTTCATTGAACTTGTAAGAATTTCCCAAGTTAAATCCCCTCCAACCAGTACAACCACAATTGTATTATCAGCAAACTGTTCACGTCATCACATTTCTTTGACATACATGTGACTGAGTTGATCTTAATCTCAATATTTCAATAGTCCACTGTTATCAGAGTACATGCAAAAAAAAAAAAAAAAAAAAAAAAAAAAAATCCTGGCAAAAATCAAAGTTACAATTAGATTTATATGTGCTTAACTTTGCAGAGTATAAAAGTTGTTTAGTTAATGCCCAATCAAATGTAGTTTGTAGTTGCTTTGCCATTTGCCAAACTGTATTGTAAAAATGTCATATTTTTTAATTATTTTATTTGAATACTTCACATTTATTCTAAATTCATAACATTACTCGGGTTATTCAGCTGAAATATTTATAACAGACTGCATTTTTTTAGATTGATACAGTAGAATTGAAAATTAGTTTTTTCAGTATTTATTTGTTTAAAGTTTCATTTAACTGACATAAATTCAATGCTTCAATAGGCTTTGAGACAGTATTATTTTAGTATATCATTGATATGATATTGTAGTTTGAATTAGATTTAATTTTTTTATTTTATATTTTCATTTAAATTAGTTAAGTTTTTTGTGTGTTTTGTAATTTTTTAAATGTCTATAGTGTTTTATTACGTTTTATTTTATTTAGTTTTACTTATTTTAGTACTTGTGAGAAATGAGAAAGGTTGCCTTGGCAACAAGCTGAAATAAAAAAAATTAAACTAAAAATTAAAATTAATTTTTTACATATATTTTATTTCAGTTAACATTTATTTTACTTCAAGTAGCAAAAATGTTTTTTTAGGGTTTTAGTTAACAATAATAACTCTAATAACTAATAATAGCAAATAACACTACTAATAATACTAAAATAACTAATAATAATAAATAAAATAATCCTAATAATAAAAACCCTAATAAAACCTTAATAAGTTATATATATATATATATATATATATATATATATATATATATATATATATATATATATATATATATATATATATAAATAATAATATTATTATTATTATTTTTAAAGATTTTAGTTTTCAATTTAGTAGAAATAACCTTAATAATAAAAAAATAATAATAAATTGTGTGGTGTGTGTGTATATATATATATATATATTTCAGGGGGGTTTTTCAGTTAAGCTTCTGCTTTGTAATTTCGAGAGAAATGTAAGAAAACTGTAATTTTAGATCATGCTGTGGTGAATTTGTGTTGAGACTGAACTTGTATCCTGTTAATAACAGCACACTTTATGCACAATGACATCACTTTATCATATTTCCACGAGGAATGACTTCTACGAATGAATCTCCTTCCAAAACAAGCCAACCGTGTGTTTTCTGCTCCACTATGAAGAATAATTGAATAATTCTTTCTAAGCATGTAATTTCGGTGTCTTGATCTTAAATATTAAATTATTCTTCATAGTGGAGCAGAAAACACACGGTTGGCTGGTTTTGGAAGGAGATTCATTCGTAGAAGTCATTCCTCGTGGACATGTGATAATGTTATGTCATTGTGTCTTGATCTGGTCTGGACGTGAGCGCTGCCTTGTTTTCTCCCAGGATCGTTCTCGTTGAGAGTTTCCCTCTCAGCATGGATTATGGGAGAAACGCCAGCGCTGGAGAAAGCCTGTTTGAAGCCTGGAAGGATCTTCTGTCTTCGGCCACAGAACAAATCGACGTGGCGTCTTTCTACTGGTCTCTGACGGCTGACGACATCAACGTGAACTCCAGCGCCGACAGAGCTGTGAGACTCATTCACACTGTTAGAAACTCATGTCTGGTGGTTTTGAACTATGAAGGTAATATGATGCCATAAAGAATCGCATGCACAGGGTAAGTGAATGTGCTCATTAAAGCTGCAGTCCGTAACTTTTTTGGGTTACTTAAAAGTTATCCAAAAATAATTTTGAGCAAGTACATAACCAGTTCAAAAGCCAGTGCTGTAGCTCGACTCACAGCGGTGAGCTTGTAATAATGTTTTTAATTCCAGGGAAATTCGAGCATGTCTTTGCGTCATTACGTCACATCTGTACAGACACATCTGTCCACACACATCTGTACACACACATCTGTACACACATCTGTCCACACACACCTGTACACACACCTGTACACACACATCTGTACACACACACCTGTACACACACATCTGTCCACATAAAGAAGAGTCTCGGCTAGTCGGCTGTGAGTGTGAGGATGCTGGAGGTGGAGATTTATAGCCTTTTCTCGCAGCACTGGATATAATTGAATGTGATGGCGGATCCAGAAAGGTTCAAACGAGGATCGCCAGTGACGACTGGAGACTCACCCGCTGTAACATGCAGAAGATGTCGGACTTCGGAGCGGCGACAGAAGAAGAGAGCCTGCAACCGGACCCATGCGGAGACACGGATAATATCGGAAGGGCTTTAAATGTCGTCACACAATGCTGACGTTGAACATTAACACTTTGAGAACAAAGTATAATTTGCAAGGTTTGACGTGATCTAATAAGCGATCGTTAGATTTAATCAGCGCGATTTACTGCAATGCTTTTTCCCCTTAGTTGGTCAGAACAAAAGTGGATGTTTCTCACTTGTTCAGACATTTTCCGGTGAATATTATTATGTTGGTCATATTTCCACAAAGTATAATTTGTGATTGTGAACGCCAGTATCCACACCGGCGGCGACTGACACACACACACTCTCCTCAAACACTGTGTTCATCCGCGCTGTGCCGCGCCGAGGCACGACTCACGTAAAGCTGATCACTCCGCCAATAACTGCAATTGCAGATTTCGAACAGAGATGGCGACAGAGGAAAAACTACAGACTGCAGCTTTAAGCAATCATTTATTTATTTATTTATTTAACATGTATGTGTGCATTAAAAGTAGCCTACCATTTCGGCAACGAGAACGATGCTAAGCCAAAAGAAGATAAAGATGTGTTCTAGCGACTGGCGTGTTTATTGAGCCAATCAGATTAGAGTAAATCGAGAGTCAGCGAGCTCCTCATCTGATTGGCTACATTATGAAGGTGCCCCCCCCCCCCCCCCCTCGCGCTTGCAAAACTCAGTCTCGTGCCAAACCTGTAAGCACAGCTAAAAGAAAGACGCAACTGTACAAATCAGGTTATTTCGGGAACTTTTTTTGCTGCACGCACACAAGAAGTCATTCAGACATTTGCAACAGTTTAATTTTATACACAAAGGTTTGTTTAACGCGATCAATCGGTTTTGCAGTCCCTGACTCTGTTGTTTTCGCCTGCAAATTGCTGTTCACAGGCTTGCAGTGCTTTTGGCCGTATTTGTGCGGGGGGAAACACGTGCCAAAAGTGTAAGTCAGAAGAATGCAGATCATATTTATTGTGCATTAGCATGAAGCAGTTTCACAATACATGCATTACACTTACGAATAACAGTAAAATGCTGCAAATATTTTTTTCTTGCACTTGAATTTGGCGATTCACACCTTTACAAATCTTCTCTTGCACAATTTACGCTTACACTTTCACAAATCTTACCCTGCACATGTGATTCTTTATGGCATCATATCACCTTCATAATGAACCTTTTTGATTGTCAACGTCACATAATGAACCTTTTTGATTGTCAACGTCATGTTTGTGTCTCAGGGCAGAGAGATTTTAGAGGAGTTCAGAGCTTTACCGGCGAGAAACGTGTCCGTGCGAGTGGTGACCAGCATCCCGACTGTGGCTCTCAATTCAACAGACCTACAAGTCCTGAAAGAAAACGGTCAGGAATTGTGCCTTACATGTAAAGACATGGATTATTTATTTTAAAGTCCCCCTGTGGTAATCCAGCTTTTAATGTTGTTTATGTGTCTATGTGGTGTTCTTAATCTGCTTTAAGACACACCATGTGTAAGTTCATAAGTCGACAGCATTGCTGAGTATTTCCTCCTTAAAACTGCAGTGAACCAAAGACAGTCTCAAAAACACGGTTTGAAATCGCTGGTGTTTCTGACGTCACAAACGACCTTGTAACCAATCAGATCAACGTGTGATCGTCAACCAGTGGATCTCTGAGTGAGTGAGTGAGTGGAGGCGGGGCTCATTTGCATATTCATAGAACCGCGCATACTAAATGAGGCGAGGGTGTCGAGTTACATTCAAGATATTTTAAGGCAATAAAGAAAAAAACTTTTAAATATGTAATTTTGGTGATCAAAGATGAGTTTTAAGGGATAAAATGATTGACTACAGGGGGACTTTAAATAATTAGTTTCTACTCTTGATTAACTTCTGAAATGAATCTTCTTATTTCCTCTAGTCCTAACTGTGTGTTGTTTCTTCCTGTAGGAATACAGATACGACGAGTGAACTTCGGCCGCTTGACTAAAGGAGTCCTTCATACTAAATTCTGGATTGTGGACGGGAAACACGTTTACATCGGCAGCGCCAACATGGACTGGAGAGCTTTAACGCAGGTAAGACCTGACATTTGCGATCGTGGATTTAACACGCTTTCATCCAAAGGGATTTACAGTAGCAAGTAGTTCCAGTTTTCGCAATATACACTGCTATGTTTATTAGAAAGAAGATGTCAAAAAAATGTGAAGCTTGGGATCACAGACTTAAGTTTGATCTCATTTTAAAGAAGACCCTTGGTAGGTTATTGTTGAAGTAAAAAAAAAGTTTAAAAAGTCAAAACAAAAAATTTTTGGGGGGTTTATGAAAATGATTTATGAACATTATTTTATGTAAAATATATATTTTATGAAACATGATGAACTCTAAAACTGCTAGAAAATCAAAGTCACAAATCTAAACAAGTCTTGTTCCAAATTTGAGGTTGATATCTCAAAAAAATAGCTTTCAGTAAGATTTTGTTTGGCCGCAGTAACACATTTTCCCCATTAGATGCCAGCAAAACTCTGATTTGTGATTTGTTTTTCTCTCTCAAATATTACACACACATACACACACACACACTTGTTTTTATAACACACATACAAACCACACTCTGACATCTATACCAACACTCTCACACAATTATAGCTGCATCATTTATCTCTAATTGGCTCTATAATATGCAGAAGCAGAAAACAGTAATAAAGTGAGTATTTGCTTTATAGGCCAAACCTGAGAAAATGGCACCATCTGGTAAAACAGTTAAAATTTTAATTTTAAAGCCTTGCCAACAGAATTAAAGCCTGTTATCAAAGATTGCATCATTTTATAGTTAAATGGCCCTGGGATTAAAAATTGGTTTCAATGGGGACATTTTTGTCCACACGGTCCTGATTGGAACTATTTTGTGTTACTGGTGTAAAATAGATTTATTAAAGGAAATGGGGGTGAAATAGTACAATTACAATAAAAATACACACCTGTGCCAAAATGTATGCAGTCGGCATTAGCACTGTCAAAATGATCAAAAAAACAAAACTGTAAAAGATGAAAATGTCCATATGGTTGTAAAAGTGTTAAATGGAAGAGCTGGAAGATGTTTTGAAAGTTGTGATATTTTCAGCAGTCTCTAATTGTGATGAATGTGACGTGTGTGGTTTATGGAAATAATTGATGAACATTATTTTATATAAAATATATATTTTATGAAACATGTTGAACTCTAAAACTATTAGAAAATCGAAGTCATAAATCTAAACCAGTCGTGTTCCAAATTTGAGGTTGATATCTCAAAAAATTTGCTTTCAGTAAGGTGTGTGTGTGTCTGTGTGTGTGTGTGTGTGTGTGTGTGTGTGTGTCTGTGTGTGTGTTGTGTCTTTCTGTGTCTGTGTGTGTCTGTGTATGTGTGTGTCTGTGTGTGTGTGTGTGTGTGTGTGTGTGTGTGTGTCTGTTTGTGTGTCTGTGTCTGTCTGTCTGTGTGTGTGTGTCTGTCTGTCTGTGTGTGTCTGTCTGTGTGTGTCTGTGTGTGTCTGTGTGTGTCTGTGTGTGTCTGTCTGTGTGTGTCTGTGTGTGTGTGTGTGTGTGTGTGTGTGTGTGTGTGTGTGTGTGTGTGTGTGTGTGTGTGTGTGTGTGTGTGTGTGTGTGTGTGTGTGTGTGTGTGTGTGTGTGTGTGTGTGTGTGTGTGATAAACCTCTCCTCCAGGTGAAAGAGCTCGGTGTGGTGATCTATAACTCCAGTGGTTTGGCTGCCGACCTGCACAAGATCTTCCAGTCGTACTGGGTCATGGGTCGGTCCAACACTTCTCTCCCGGATCCGTGGCCGTCCTCCTACCAGACCTCCATCAGCCAGGAGCATCCGCTGCCACTCAACCTCAGCGGTGTGGCCAGTCGAGTTTACATCACGGTGACTACACTCGCTCACAAACACACACACACACATTCATGCACAGTCTTTTGGAGAGGCTTGTTGACATTATGTGCCTATGAAACAAGCGGATTTACGTATTGTAGAGTTAATGAAAGTTATCCTGAGCATTGTAGAGTTAATGAAAGTTATCCTGAGCATTGTGGAGTTAACGAAAGTTATCCTGAGCATTGTAGAGTTAATGAAAGTTATCCTGAGCATTGTAGAGTTAACGAAAGTTATCCTGAGCATTGTAGAGTTAATGAAAGTTATCCTGAGCATTGTGGAGTTAACGAAAGTTATCCTGAGCATTGTAGAGTTAATGAAAGTTATCCTGAGCATTGTAGAGTTAACGAAAGTTATCCTGAGCATTGTAGAGTTAATGAAAGTTATCCTGAGCATTGTGGAGTTAACGAAAGTTATCCTGAGCATTGTAGAGTTAACGAAAGTTATCCTGAGCATTGTAGAGTTAATGAAAGTTATCCTGAGCATTGTAGAGTTAATGAAAGTTATCCTGAGCATTGTAGAGTTAATGAAAGTTATCCTGAGCATTGTGGAGTTAATGAAAGTTATCCTGAGCATTGTGGAGTTAATGAAAGTTATCCTGAGCATTGTGGAGTTAATGAAAGTTATCCTGAGCATTGTAGAATTAATGAAAGTTATCCTGAGCATTGTAGAGTTAATGAAAGTTATCCTGAGCATTGTAGAGTTAATGAAAGTTATCCTGAGCATTGTAGAGTTAATGAAAGTTATCCTGAGCATTGTAGAGTTAATGAAAGTTATCCTGAGCATTGTGGAGTTAACGAAAGTTATCCTGAGCATTGTGGAGTTAATGAAAGTTATCCTGAGCATTGTAGAGTTAATGAAAGTTATCCTGAGCATTGTAGAGTTAATGAAAGTTATCCTGAGCATTGTGGAGTTAATGAAAGTTATCCTGAGCATTGTGGAGTTAATGAAAGTTATCCTGAGCATTGTGGAGTTAATGAAAGTTATCCTGAGCATTGTAGAGTTAATGAAAGTTATCCTGAGCATTGTAGAGTTAATGAAAGTTATCCTGAGCATTGTGGAGTTAATGAAAGTTATCCTGAGCATTGTAGAGTTAATCAAAGTTATCCTGAGCATTGTAGAGTTAATGAAAGTTATCCTGAGCATTGTATTATTAATGAAAGTTATCCTGAGCATTGTAGAGTTAATTAAAGTTATCCTGAGCATTGCGGAGTTAATGAAAGTTATCCTGAGCATTGTAGAGTTAATGAAAGTTATCCTGAGCATTGTAGAGTTAATGAAAGTTATCCTGAGCATTGTGGAGTTAATGAAAGTTATCCTGAGCATTGTGGAGTTAATGAAAGTTATCCTGAGCATTGTGGAGTTAATGAAAGTTATCCTGAGCATTGTGGAGTTAATGAAAGTTATCCTGAGCATTGTGGAGTTAATGAAAGTTATCCTGAGCATTGTGGAGTTAATGAAAGTTATCCTGAGCATTGTGGAGTTAATGAAAGTTATCCTGAGCATTGTGGAGTTAATGAAAGTTATCCTGAGCATTGTGGAGTTAATGAAAGTTATCCTGAGCATTGTGGAGTTAATGAAAGTTATCCTGAGCATTGTGGAGTTAATGAAAGTTATCCTGAGCATTGTAGAATTAACGAAAGTTATCCTGAGCATTGTGGAGTTAATGAAAGTTATCCTGAGCATTGCGGAGTTAATGAAAGTTATCCTGAGCATTGTAGAGTTAACGAAAGTTATCCTGAGCATTGTAGAGTTAACGAAAGTTATCCTGAGCATTGTAGAGTTAATGAAAGTTATCCTGAGCATTGTAGAGTTAATGAAAGTTATCCTGAGCATTGTAGAGTTAATGAAAGTTATCCTGAGCATTGTGGAGTTAATGAAAGTTATCCTGAGCATTGTAGAGTTAATGAAAGTTATCCTGAGCATTGTAGAGTTAATGAAAGTTATCCTGAGCATTGTAGAGTTAATGAAAGTTATCCTGAGCATTGTAGAGTTAATGAAAGTTATCCTGAGCATTGTAGAGTTAATGAAAGTTATCCTGAGCATTGTAGAGTTAATGAAAGTTATCCTGAGCATTGTAGAGTTAACGAAAGTTATCCTGAGCATTGTAGAGTTAATGAAAGTTATCCTGAGCATTGTGGAGTTAATGAAAGTTATCCTGAGCATTGTAGAGTTAATGAAAGTTATCCTGAGCATTGTAGAGTTAATGAAAGTTATCCTGAGCATTGTAGAGTTAATGAAAGTTATCCTGAGCATTGTGGAGTTAATGAAAGTTATCCTGAGCATTGTAGAGTTAATGAACGTTATCCTGAGCATTGTGGAGTTAATGAAAGTTATCCTGAGCATTGTAGAGTTAATGAAAGTTATCCTGAGCATTGTAGAGTTAATGAAAGTTATCCTGAGCATTGTGGAGTTAATGAAAGTTATCCTGAGCATTGTGGAGTTAATGAAAGTTATCCTGAGCATTGTGGAGTTAATGAAAGTTATCCTGAGCATTGTGGAGTTAATGAAAGTTATCCTGAGCATTGTGGAGTTAATGAAAGTTATCCTGAGCATTGTGGAGTTAATGAAAGTTATCCTGAGCATTGTGGAGTTAATGAAAGTTATCCTGAGCATTGTGGAGTTAACGAAAGTTATCCTGAGCATTGTGGAGTTTATGAAAGTTATCCTGAGCATTGTGGAGTTAACGAAAGTTATCCTGAGCATTGTGGAGTTAATGAAAGTTATCCTGAGCATTGCGGAGTTAATGAAAGTTATCCTGAGCATTGTGGAGTTAATGAAAGTTATCCTGAGCATTGTGGAGTTAATGAAAGTTATTCTGAGCATTGTGGAGTTAATGAAAGTTATCCTGAGCATTGTAGAATTAATGAAAGTTATCCTGAGCATTGTGGAGTTAATGAAAGTTATCCTGAGCATTGTGGAGTTAATGAAAGTTATCCTGAGCATTGTGGAGTTAATGAAAGTTATCCTGAACATTGTAGAATTAATGAAAGTTATCCTGAGCATTGTGGAGTTAATGAAAGTTATCCTGAGCATTGTGGAGTTAATGAAAGTTATCCTGAGCATTGTGGAGTTAATGAAAGTTATCCTGAGCATTGTGGAGTTAATGAAAGTTATCCTGAGCATTGTGGAGTTAATGAAAGTTATCCTGAGCATTGTGGAGTTAATGAAAGTTATCCTGAGCATTGTAGAATTAATGAAAGTTATCCTGAGCATTGTGGAGTTAATGAAAGTTATCCTGAGCATTGTGGAGTTAATGAAAGTTATCCTGAGCATTGTGGAGTTAATGAAAGTTATCCTGAGCATTGTGGAGTTAATGAAAGTTATCCTGAGCATTGTGGAGTTAATGAAAGTTATCCTGAGCATTGTAGAATTAATGAAAGTTATCCTGAGCATTGTGGAGTTAATGAAAGTTATCCTGAGCATTGTGGAGTTAATGAAAGTTATCCTGAGCATTGTGGAGTTAATGAAAGTTATCCTGAGCATTGTGGAGTTAATGAAAGTTATCCTGAGCATTGTAGAGTTAATGAAAGTTATCCTGAGCATTGTGGAGTTAATGAAAGTTATCCTGAGCATTGTGGAGTTAATGAAAGTTATCCTGAGCATTGTGGAGTTAATGAAAGTTATCCTGAGCATTGTGGAGTTAATGAAAGTTATCCTGAGCATTGTAGAGTTAACGAAAGTTATCCTGAGCATTGTGGAGTTAATGAAAGTTATCCTGAGCATTGTGGAGTTAATGAAAGTTATCCTGAGCATTGTAGAATTAATGAAAGTTATCCTGAGCATTGTGGAGTTAATGAAAGTTATCCTGAGCATTGTGGAGTTAATGAAAGTTATCCTGAGTTAATGAAAGTTATCCTGAGTTAATGAAAGTTATCCTGAGTTAATGAAAGTTATCCTGAGTTAATGAAAGTTATCCTGAGTTAATGAAAGTTATCCTGAGTTAATGAAAGTTATCCTGAGTTAATGAAAGTTATCCTGAGTTAATGAAAGTTATCCTGAGTTAATCAAAGTTATCCTAAGTTAATGAAAGTTATCCTGAGTTAATGAAAGTTATCCTGAGTTAATCAAAGTTATCCTGAGTTAATGAAAGTTATCCTGAGCATTGTAGAGTGGAAGACTGAACACAACGAGTGCTGAAAGGGGCGGAGCTACATGAGGTCTATTATAATACTAGTTCTGATTGGATGAGGCGTGTTTGAAGACGTTGACACACATTCTAAATGTTGCCTGGCAGTCAGTCGTTATTGTTAACTAAAACTATTGAAAATCATTTTCGGTCAGGGAAATAAAGCTGAAAAAATATATAAATATTAGATGAAAAACTTAAACTTAAATACATTAAAATTAGAAATGTCACCTTGAAGTATTATAATTATTAAAATCGAAGCAAAAATAAATTAAAGGTAAATTGAAATACATAAATAACAAAATAAAAGTAATAAAAAAAAACTTTTTAAGGTAGTATTAATAAATGTATCTGCATCAATTTATCTGCATCTTTTATTAAAGTGATGTTGCTGTTGTTTTATATAGTCATGTCATCCTGTTCCTGGGTTTAATGAGTGATACTGATATCTACAGACTATTTAAAATGGAAATAGTTATCTAAATGAAATCCAATAGTCTCAAAATTTTGAAATGTCGGCAAATTAACTGGTGATATGCACTACTCCTTAAAAAATTTTTTTTTTTAATTTTTAATTCAGCAAGGACGCATTAAATTGTTCAAAAGTAAAGACATTGATAATGTTACAAGAGATTTTATTTCAAATAAACGCTGTTCTTGTAGAATGTTTTATTTATCAAAGAATCCTGAGAAAAAAAATGCATCTCAGTTTCTAGAAAAATATGAATCAGCACAACAATTATTCCTAATAATAATCATAAATGTTTCTTGAGCATCAAATCATCATTTTGGAGTGATTTCTGAAGGATCATGTGACACTGAAGACTGGAGTAATGATGCGTAATGATCACAGGAATAAATTACGCTTTACTATATATTCACATAGAAAACTATGGAAGCTTGTTTCCGCCACAGAATGAAAAATAAAAAAGCTAATTGTGACTTTTTATCTTTAACTATAGTCAGAATTGTGTGATATAAAGTCAGAATTGCATGCTATAAAGTCAGAATTGCGTGATATAAAGTCGCAATTGCGTGTAATAAATTCAGAATTGCGAGATATAAAGTCGCAATTGCCTTATAGTCAGAATTGCGAGATATAAAGTCAGAATTAATTGATATAAAGTCGCAATTGCGTGTTATAAAGTCAGAATTGCGAGATATAAAGTCGCAATTGCCTTATAGTCAGAATTGCGTGATACAAAGTCAGAATTGCGTGTTATAAAGTCAGGATTGCGTGTTATAAAGTCAGAATTGCGTGTTATAAAGTCAGAATTGCGAGATATAAAGTCGCAATTGCCTTATAGTCAGAATTGCGTGATATAAAGTCAGAATTGCGTGTTATAAAGTCAGGATTGCGTGTTATAAAGTCAGAATTGCGTGTTATAAAGTCAGAATTGCGAGATATAAAGTCGCAATTGCCTTATAGTCAGAAAGTCGCAATAGCGTGTTATAAAGTCAGAATTGCGAGATATAAAGTCGCAATTGCGTGTTATAAAGTCAGAATTGCGAGATATAAAGTCAGAATTGATTGATATAAAGTCAAAATTGCGTGTTATAAAGTCAGAATTGCGTGATATAAAGTCGCAATTGCGTGTTATAAAGTCAGAATTGCGAGATATAAAGTCAGAATTGCGAGATATAAAGTCGCAATTGCATGTTATAAAGTCAGAATTGCGAGATGTAAAGTCGCAATTGCGTGTTATAAAGTCAGAATTGTGAGATATAGTCAGAATTGCGAGATATAAAGTCGCAATTGCGTGTTATAAAGTCAGAATTGCAAGATGTAAAGTCGCAATTGCGTGTTATAAAGTCAGAATTGCGAGATGTAAAGTCGCAATTGCGTGTTATAAAGTCAGAATTGTGAGATATAAAGTCGCAATTGCGTGTTATAAAGTCAGAATTGTGAGATATAGTCAGAATTGCGAGATGTAAAGTCGCAATTGCGTGTTATAAAGTCAGAATTGTGAGATATAAAGTCGCAATTGCGTGTTATAAAGTCAGAATTGTGAGATATAGTCAGAATTGCGAGATATAAAGTCGCAATTGCGTGTTATAAAGTCAGAATTGCGAGATGTAAAGTCGCAATTGCGTGTTATAAAGTCAGAATTGCGAGATATAAAGTCGCAATTGCGTGTTATAAAGTCAGAATTGCGTGTTATAAAGTCAGAATTGCGAGATATAAAGTCGCAATTCCGTGTTATAAAGTCAGAATTGCGTGATATAAAGTCGCAATAGCGTGTTATAAAGTCAGAATTGCGAGATATAAAGTCGCAATTGCGTGTTATAAAGTCAGAATTGCGTGTTATAAAGTCAGAATTGCGAGATATAAAGTCGCAATTGCGTGTTATAAAGTCAGAATTGCGTGATATAAAGTCGCAATTGCGTGTTATAAAGTCAGAATTGCGTGTTATAAAGTCAGAATTGCGAGATATAAAGTCGCAATTGCGTGTTATAAAGTCAGAATTGCGTGTTATAAAGTCAGAATTGCGAGATATAAAGTCGCAATTGCGTGTTATAAAGTCAGAATTGCGTGATATAAAGTCGCAATTGCGTGTTATAAAGTCAGAATTGCGAGATATAAAGTCAGAATTGATTGATATAAAGTCAAAATTGCGTGTTATAAAGTCAGAATTGCGTGATATAAAGTCACAATTGCGTGTTATAAAGTCACAATTGCGAGATATAAATTCGCAATTGCGTGTTATAAAGTCAGAATTGCGAGATATAAAGTCAGAATTGCGAGATATAAAGTCGCAATTGCATGTTATAAAGTCAGAATTGCGAGATGTAAAGTCGCAATTGCGTGTTATAAAGTCAGAATTGCGAGATGTAAAGTCGCAATTGCGTGTTATAAAGTCAGAATTGTGAGATATAGTCGCAATTGCGTGTTATAAAGTCAGAATTGCAAGATGTAAAGTCGCAATTGCGTGTTATAAAGTCACAATTGCGAGATGTAAAGTCGCAATTGCGTGTTATAAAGTCAGAATTGCGAGATGTAAAGTCGCAATTGCGTGTTATAAAGTCAGAATTGCGAGATATAAAGTCGCAATTGCGTGTTATAAAGTCAGAATTGCGAGATATAAAGTCGCAATTGCGTGTTATAAAGTCAGAATTGCGAGATGTAAAGTCGCAATTGCGTGTTATAAAGTCAGAATTGTGAGATATAGTCAGAATTGCAAGACGTAAAGTCGCAATTGCGTGTTATAAAGTCAGAATTGCGAGATGTAAAGTCGCAATTGCGTGTTATAAAGTCAGAATTGCGAGATATAAAGTCGCAATTGCGTGTTATAAAGTCAGAATTGCGAGATGTAAAGTCGCAATTGCGTGTTATAAAGTCAGAATTGTGAGATATAAACTTATTCCCCTTAGAATTGGCCTGATAACTCGCAATTGCGAGTTTATATCTCACAATTCTGAGAAAAGATGTCAGAATTTTGAGATCAAAACTCAATTATGTGTTATAAAGTCAGAATTGCGAGATGTAAACTCGCAATTGTGAGAAATAAAGTCAAATTGTCTTTTTTCTCGCAAATGCGACTTTATTTCTCATAATTGCGACTTTATATCTCGCAATTGCGACTTTATTTCTCAGAATTGCGACTTTATTTCTCACAATTCTGACTTCATATCGCAATTGTGAGATAAAAAGTCGCAATTATTAAAAAAAATATATTTATTCAGTGGCGGAAACAAGCTTCCATAGAAAACAGCTGATTTACATCATAATAATATTTCACAATTTTACTGCATTTTTGATCAAATAAACGCAGCTTTGGTGAGCCGAAGAGTCTTCATCTCTCCTCTTCCTCAGGCCTCTCCGCCGGCGTTCTGTCCTGCCTCTCGAACCCGAGACCTTGATGCCATTCTGTCGGCCATCGGAGACGCGCGGGTCTTCATACACATCGCCGTCATGGAGTTTTATCCCGCCTCCAAGTACTTCCATCATCACGGGTGAGTTTCAACTCAAGTCAGCTGTATTTCCATAGCGTTTATACAACACCGATTGATTTAAAATGAGTAATTCACTTTCAAATGAAGATTAGGCCGTGATTTACTCACTCTCAAGTCATCTAAGTGTTTGATTTTCTATTTTCAGACGAATACAATCTGAGTTATATTAAAAAATGTCTTGGCTCTTCCAGGTTTTATAATGGCAGTGGATTGCAAACAACAGATTAAAGCTCAAAAACGTGCATCCATCCGTAATAAACGAACTAGTCTTCATCAAATATGAGATCAATTTAATTTTTCAGCTGTAAAGCAGCTCTAAAAAGACTATAGTGTCGTTATTCAGCTCAATGTTGATTCAGTCCAGTTTAATAACTGTATAAAGTTCATCAATTATGAAACTAGTTCAATTCAATTACTCAGCTCAATTAAATTCAAAGTTCAGTTTTGGTTGCAAAATTCGTCAATTATGAAAAATTCAATTCAGTTGTAATAAGCATTTCAATGCATTTTAGAGCTGCACGATTAATGTTAAAAGATTGCGATCTCGATTCAAACACACACGTGATCTTATTCCTAAATGATGATGATTCGCCTGTGTCTCTTAAACCTTTGACAAGTACAATCACAGAGAACTGATCACAGATCTGTGTTCTGATCCAGAGAGAGCAGATGTCCTGTATAGGTATGAAACCGCTTCACAAACAGCACCGTATCATTATTCCTATATTACAAGTAAAAGTTTATTGTTCGTAAATAAACACTGGCCTACAGTAGTGATGAAAATAGAGCAAATCAACTTTTGAAAATAAATTAACACTTCAAATGCGACAAGAGACTGATGAAAATGTGTCATTGAATCATTCATTCAAGAGATTCGTTCAAAAACACTGATTCATCCAGTAATAAAATGAGTGAAGTATTTATGAGTGAGTCAATTGAATCATTATATTTTCTGTGTAACAACGAATAGAGGTATTATAATGTATTATAATTATAAATCACCTTTTAAAAGTAACTTGACGCTTCAAATCAAATAAAGATGGTATAAATTACAGCGTTACACCAGTAGGTGGCGACAAGAGACTGATGAAAATGTGTGTGTCATTGAATCATTCACTCAAGAGATTCGTTCAAAAAACTCTGATTAATCCAGTAATAAAACAAGTGAAGTATTTATGAGTGAGTCATTAAATCATTCATTCAAGAGATTTGTTCATAACGCTGATTTGTCCAGTAATAAAATGAATGAAGTATTTATGAGTGAGTCATTGAATCATTCATTCAAGAGATTCACTTAAAACTTTGATTCGTCCAGTAATAAAACAAGTGAAGTATTTATGAGTGTGTCATTAAATCATTCATTCAAAAGATTTGTTCATAACGCTGATTTGTCCAGTAATAAAATGAGTGAAGTATTTATGAGTGAGTCATTGAATCATTCATTCAAGAGATTCACTTAACTTTGATTCGTCCAGTTACAAAACAAGTGAAGTTTTTGTAAATGAGTCATTGAATCATTCATTCAAGAGATTCGTTCAAAATGCTGATATGTCCAGTAATAAAATAAGTGAAGTATGAATCCATTGAATCATTCATTTGAAAAATATATTAAATATTTTTTAAACAGACTGCATCACTTAGCATTTTGTTAGAATCTCTAGTAAATGACTTATTTTGTTTAGTTGTCTGTTCAGAATCGTGATCTCTATTTTAAACAAAAAATGGTGATTCTCTAATCCATTTAGTGTCCTTTCATGAGTATGTCCATTACTGTGTGTGTGTGTGTGTGTGTTTGCGCAGATACTGGCCGGTCATTGAAGACGCCCTGAAGCGCTCGGCCTTCGAGAGGAACGTGTCCGTGAGTCTGCTGGTCAGTTGCGGTCGAGACACCGACCCGTCCGTTTGGCCGTTCCTCCGGTCATTAGATGCTCTCCGCTCCCCGTCTCACAACATTAACATCGCAGTGGTGAGTCGATGTAAACGATGCAAGGACGACACCTATATAAATCTGTTTTTAAATGCTGTTTCATTGCACAGAGGCTGTTTATTATTCCCGTGGGAAACCAGTCGCACATCCCCTATTCCAGAGTCAACCACAACAAGTATATGGTGACCGACAGAGTGGCGTATGTGGGTGAGGCATTTCACTGCGCTTTTACTCTCCTGACAATGTTCATTTAATGAAATGTTGATACTAAAGGAGCTATTAAGGCATTCTTTTTAACATTGACTTTTTCGATTTTTTATACACCGATTCATGGTCTCGTGAGTTCAGTGTTGGACAGGTCAGTTGTTTTAACTATTCATTAAAGTGAATAGTTAAAATGAGTCATTTTGCGTATCGGACGTGTCATTAGTGGACGTCCAGCCATGGCACGCTTGTGTGATTATCTCGGCAGTTTAGGACATCGCACAAGATTTGCGTCAATACAGAAAAAATTTAATCACTGGATAGGTTTTTTCGGTTATTGAAATGTGGTTTATGTCAGCTGAATGGGCGGAACGCTTTTTAGAGAAAGGCAACGTGTTTTTTGTTTTTTGGTTTTTTGCACAATTCACACACCGCGGTAATTCAGGAGAAAAAATCTCCAAATGCTCCACGTGAAACTGCGATCTTCCGACCTTTTACTATCGTGTCAATTGATTTTGATTAATATGCGCGCGCGAGAGAGAGAGCAAAACAGCGCTCGTGTTGTTTGCTATGGTTGTTTGAAGACGTGAGAGTGCGCGCGGCCGGTGCGCTCTCTCTCTCTGCTCGTTATGCGCCCTGTCAAGCGCAGCAGTCATTCTATTCTACATCACTCACCGATCAAAAAAGGCTTTGGTGGGACAAAAAATTGCTTTGGTGACCGCCAAAAAAAATAAATGCTGGAAAACCCCTGTTATTATGTCGAAATAACGAGAATCTCACCTGAAAATCCGATAACATCAGCAATTTTAATTCAAGCAACTGATTTCTGTAAATGAATGTAAAACTAAATGTATATTGCATGCAGCACAGGGTGAAGTCAAACAGTATTTACATTAACAACGCCGAATGGCGCTGCCGGTGTGTGTAGAGAATAATGTGTTAGAATTTTAAAGACTTGGCGCTGCGCTTCTCGTCCGGTGTGCGACCCACTTTACCCTGAAAATTCACCTCAAAAACGCATCGAAACTGCAAACACAAGATTTTTGTGGAACTTCAATGGGGAATAAAGACTAACAAGACAGATAACAACATTGAACACTACACAAACAGTAATTATTAATTTGCCATAGTGACACAGGAGGTGGCGGATCCAATAAAAAAAGGTTCCGGATCCAACGTCGGAGGTGCCGGAACATGTTCCGGCGTGTTCCGGCTCAAATTAAGCCCTGGTCTTAATTCTTCCTTATAATCCTAATTTAAATTATTGATCAAATTTAAGAATTTAAAATGAAAGATAAAGCATCCATTTAATAGGATTAGGGAATAAAACACCCTTTATAAAGTGGAAAAAAATCCCTCCAAATAAATATCACAAATATGCAGATTTAAACTGAATATTGCTTCAGAATAAATTATATTTACACCACACACAAAAATATAGTTTTTTTCCGGACAAGCAACATTTTTACTCGAATGACCGATTTACTTGCATAATGCCGATCCCTGTATATAGTTTTGATATGTATGTTTCATATGAACAACTGACACTGTGTGTGTGTGTGTGTGTGTGTGTTCAGGCACGTCTAACTGGTCAGCTGACTACTTCAACACCACTGCCGGAGTGGGCTTGGTGGTTTCCCAGGATGCTTTGCTGGGAGACTCCTTCCATCAGCAGTTGAATGCCGTGTTTGCCCGAGACTGGGACTCCCAGTTTGCCGTCCCGCTCGCTGAGCTCAAGCTGAACCACGACTGTGTGTTCTCCAGATCCACACCATAGATCCGCACGCTTCAGGCGAACGCTTCACCGGTGCAACTCTTATAAGCATTAAACTTGAAATATAAACGTCATGTATATCTCACATGTTTTAAACAAACTGATATTTGTATCATCATTATATATGTATTATTTGCATCATGTCTCTAAATAAGGGAAGCCTTTTGGCCATTTCATTTGAAGAATTATTTTCTAATTCAATAAAATGTAATGAGTATTATAAATTGACCTAGATGGAATGTAATAACATTTGTGTTTTTCATTTTCAGTGTTTCAACTTTTTATATATATTATTTTTATTATACTATTATTTTTCCCCATTGTTAATGTTTATGTAATGTTTATGCATTTCATTGTAATTGTATACACAAAAAATAAACATTTTCTTAATGTTTTTATCAGCATTTTCTCCTCAAATAATTACTTTATTTACTAATATATATGCAGTCACTTGGAATTTTTAAATCATATTTGAAAATTATTATTTTTTAGGTTGACTGTTGTATTCATTGTTGATTTTTTTTCTTTTATTCTTTGTATATTTACTATGTAAAGCACTTTAAGAAGCTGCATTAAAGGCACTATATGAAATAAACTTATATTATAATTACTTATATAAAATGTGTATATATGTTAGTAGGTCTATACTGTGTGTATGTATGTAGCCTACGGTATGTGTGTATATATACACTCACCGGCCACTTTATTAGGTACACCTGTCCAACTGCTCGTTAACACTTAATTTCTAAGCAGCCAATCACATGGCGGCAACTCAGTGCATGTAGACATGGTCAAGACAATCTCCTGCAGTTCAAACCGAGCATCAGTATGGGGAAGAAAGTTGATTTGAGTGACTTTGAACGTGGCATGATTGTTGGTGCCAGAAGGGCTGGTCTGAGTATTTCAGAAACTGCTAATCTACTGGGATTTTCACGCACAACCATCTCTAGGGTTTACAGAGAATGGTCCGAAAAAGAAAAAACATCCAGTGAGCGGCAGTTCTGTGGGCGGAAATGCCTTGTTGATGCCAGAGGTCAGAGGAGAATGGCCAGACTGGTTCGAGCTGATAGAAGGGCAACAGTGACTGAAATAACCACTCGTTACAACCGAGGTATGCAACAAAGCATTTGTGAAGCCACAACACGCACAACCTTGAGGCGGATGGGCTACAACAGCAGAAGACTCCACCGGGTACCACTCATCTCCACTACAAATAGGAAAAAGAGGCTACAATTTGCAAGAGCTCACCAAAATTGAACAGTTGAAGACTGGAAAAATGTTGCCTGGTCTGATGAGTCTCGATTTCTGTTGAGACATTCAGATGTTAGAGTCAGAATTTGGCGTAAACAGAATGAGAACATGGAACCATCATGCCTTGTTACCACTGTGCAGGCTGGTGGTGGTGGTGTAATGGTGTGGGGGATGTTTTCCTGGCACACTTTAGGCCCCTTAGTGCCAATTGGGCATCGTTTAAATGCCACGGCCTACCTGAGCATTGTTTCTGACCATGTCCATCCCTTTATGGCCACCATGTACCCATCCTCTGATGGCTACTTCCACCATGTCACAAAGCTCTAATCATTTCAAATTGGTTTCTTGAACATGACAATGAGTTCACTGTACTAAAATGGCCTCCACAGTCACCAGATCTCAACCCAATAGAGCATCTTTGGGATGTGGTGGAACGGGAGATTCGCATCATGGATGTGCAGCCGACAAATCTGCGGCAACTGTGTGATGCCATCATGTCAATATGGACCAAACTCCCTGAGGAATGCTTCCAGCACCTTGTTGAATCTATGCCACGAAGAATTGAGGCAGTTCTGAAGGCAAAAGGGGGTCCAACCCGTTACTAGCATGGGGTACCTAATAAAGTGGCCGGTGAGTGTATTTTGGCGGGAATCCCGATGGTAATGACCGTTAAATCGCGTCGTCACAGTCTGTTTGCAAAGGGTCCGTTGAGTGCAAAGTGTCCAACATTACAAACATTTTTTTCCGGTTAATTAACTCCAAATAGCTCATTTAGCATAAACACAAGAGTTTACTACAGGAAAAGCAAAGTAAATCATCCTGTAGCGATGTGGATCTGGCGCCGCTAGAGGGCGGTAGTGACGTCATGTGATTGTGCTTCGCGCGCAGGAAGAAGAAGCGCGCGAAGGGGCGGAGCTTCAGTGCAGCTGAGCGACGTGTTCTAATCATCAAACTGTCTGTTAGCAGTTCATTCATCACTGAAGATATGGTGTTATTAGAAAACGACGCGGTAAGATCACTTTATATCTCATATTCTGCGGTTATCAGTTGATAATACGCTCGTACTGTACAAGAGATTCAGAGTTTTCGTGTTTAATCGGACGCCGTCGAGTTCAAACGTGTTAGCAAGCTAAAGCACAAACTCTTCACACTGGATTCTGCTGCTGTAATGTCGACAAACTCATTCCTTTGGCTTATTTCAGGCTCGTTTTAAAGTATTCATGCGTTTAATTATTATAAACGATGTTAAAGTAAGTCAACTAATGCCTTCTGGACCCCTCATAGACGCTTCTGCTTCGTTTTAATAGGACAAATCAAAGTAATTCGTTCGGTTTATTATCATAATAAAGTATAAATGTGATTAATTACCTGATAAAGAGATATTAAAATTAATGAGCAACTTGGAAACTTGACCTACAGCTGTACAGGAGCTGAACATACGTTACATGCATTACAGTGTGTTCACATAAGGTCGGAGATATATGTGTGTGTTTAAATAAGTAAAACTAAATGTCATAATTGAAAAATAAAGGCATATGACTTCATAAATCAAACATAAAATTTAATCTTTATTTTGGTATTACTATTATAGTTATAATTGTATTAATAGTATACTATGCCATTTATTTATTTTCTGTAATACTTTTTACTCGTTATTTTATATTCATGCATTGATTTATTTTTTGTTTATTTCCATAATTGCCACATTTATTTATTTCAACAATTGTTTATAAATTTTTTTTTTATTATTAATTCTTATAATGCCATTGGTTGAGTTAAAGTAGCTTATGTATATTTCTCTCAGCATATTCAGTCGGGTTATGAAGCCATTTTACTGAAAAAACAAAACAAGTACTTGTTAGAAGTGTTTGTTGTGACACATTACAGTGTTTAATGAACTACATGCACTAATTATGTTTTGAAGAGCAGCACTCATTCACTTTTATTAACATTTAATTGTGGAGCATGTCAGATATGTGAGTATTTTTCAGCATTAACAGTATTGAGATGTGTGTGTGTGTGTGTGTGTGTGTGTGTGTGTGTGTGTGTGTGTGTGTGTGTGTGTGTTTCTCTGCAGTTCCTCACTGAACTCACGCGTCTGTTCCAGAAGTGCAGGACCAGCGGCAGCGTCGTCATCACACTGAAGAAGTGTACGTCACACACACACATCTCACGTCACACACACACATCTCACGCACTACTGTTCTTTATACTCTAGTGGAGTTTTTTAATGTTTTAAATTAGAATTATTAAAAGTGAAAATTGTAATGAAACTAAAATTTTAAATAATCTGAAATTAAAAAATTATAATGATAACCATTAAAATGAAACTTGAATATAAAAACAATAGCAAAAGTTTTTCATGTAATATTTGTATTGTATTTTTATTTCGACTTTAATTGGTTTTGTTAAAGGGATACTCCACCGTTTTTTCATATACTACAGGGCTGGTGAATGCTTGATTCTGATTGGTTGAGAAACGTTCTAAGGTGTGCAATTATTTTCAGGGAAAGGCACGGCTAAAGTAGTTCCAGGCAAGTTTGACCGCATTACAGTTCCATATCACTGCGCGTAGTTAACTGTAATAACGGAAAATAGGATACAATTCATAACAAGAAAAACATGCAGCCCATGCGCTTGATCTGCAATTTTCGATGTCTAACTTCACAATCAATGGACACATGCAGTTTAATTTTAATGAATAAAGTATATAGCCCTATATAGTCAATAGAAAATTAAACTGAATAGGCCTATAAATAATTGATAGTCCTGCTGCACGGGTTTTCGTAATTATTGCAGATAATAGGCTATAACAAATTAATAATTATTGATAGGCCTATACTTGTTAATAGGACTTTGTTTTATTTATTACTGTCAATATTAGGGAAAAAAACATGAACGAACTAATTAAAATGAATTTAATTAATAAATAATAACATTGAAGCACATGCTTCTCTCTCTCTCTCTAATAACTGCATTAATAACTGCATAAAGCCGGGGACACACTTATTGTAAGGCCGGTTATGATGTAATTTGATACTTTGTTATGATTGATCATGCACGCGTGTTCAGCGCGTTCAGTTTAAAATCTTCTGCAGTCGATGGAAACAGTCAGAGAGTGTTTCAGCCAGTCGTTAAGTGTGTCCATCATTAGTCTGCTATCAGTGGCTCAAACCTCCGTTACTAACTCTAAAATGACATTTTGAAATTAGCAACGGAGGCATGGGATTAGATGCGCAAGAAATTAGTCCTTCATACAAGAACGTTTTAATGACAAAAACTTCACAAACGTCTTGAAATACATCATTTAAACAATGTTTCGGGGTGTGGTAACTGTAGTATAAGCGGAATAATTGACGACAGACTGTTGAATTATTAGAAAAATAATGCACACCCGAGGTGTAACGGCCACTCCGCTTCACCGTCGTGACCGCATTACCACCTCGGGTGTGCATTATTTTTCTAATAATTCAACAGTCTGTCGTCAATTATTCCTTACATATTAAACTGTTATTCCCTTTACTAAGACGAGTTTATGCACACCTCTGTCTCAGTGCGTGCGCTCAATCGCTCTGGCGCGCGAGACACTTTGAACGCACTTAGCTTAGCCCAGTTCATTCATTACGGGCCAAGCAGAGAAGCGACCAAACACCTCCACGTTTTCCCTATTTAAATACAGTTACTCGAGTAGTGTAACTCAACCAAGAACGGTGGCACAAAATAAAACATTGCGCTTTTCTAAGCGTGTAAAGTGGATAACTATAATGTATGGCGGAAGACCACAGCAAGTGCTTGGGAGCACTTCGACTCGGCGCAGTGATATCATCACTCGTGAAAAGTCCTCTCCCTCTCTGGAGTGATGATATCACTGCGCCGAGTCGAAGTGCTCCCAAGCACTTGCTGTGGTCTTCCGCCATACATTATAGTTATCCACTTTACACGCTTAGAAAAGCGCAATGTTTTATTTTGTGCCACCGTTCTTGGTCGAGTTACACAACTCGAGTAACTGTATTTAAATAGGGAAAACGTGGAGGTGTTTGGTCACTTCTCTGCTTGGCCCGTATTGAATGAACTGGGCTAAGCTAAGTGCGTTCGAAGTGTCTCGCGCGCCAGAGCGATTGAGCGCACGCACTGAGACAGAGGTGTGCAAAAACTCGTCTTAGTAAAGGGAATAACAGTTTAATATGAAAAACCGGTGGAATATCCCTTTAATGATAACAACAGCCCAGGATGATAATGCGTTGACATTAGGCATGTGCCGGTATCAAATTTTCCTGCTGCGATTAATTGATTGAGCTTTTATCACGGTATACGGTATTATCACGATAATTTAATTGCACAAGAGAAACAGATGGATTGGGGGTATCTAAAAAAACCAACTTGCATCACTATGTGTAATTGTGATTGTCAAAACATTTGGTAACTAAACAGAATTTTATTAAGTTTAGTGACAACATGTTACAATGTTTACATGGTACAGTTACTGAGGCTACTGTTTGTATTATTGCTTAACACAATTTTCACGATTTCAATTCAATTCTTGGATTTGATTTCAATCTTGATTCAATATTGACTCATTTGGATAAATATTAGGTAGGCTACAGTAGATAGCCTGCATTTAAATTTTTCTCAAGAAAAAATATCTCACATAATGCTGTAAACATACAGAGAGAAATTAAATATAATGCGGTTTTCATTATAATAACAATAATGACACAAGTAAAAATATAATAAATAGGTAATATAGTCCACATATTTAGCAAAATACTCAGCTATTTTTTCTAGTCAACTAACGTGCTGGTCATTAAATGGCTTTCCTGAGGTAAAGGTAACATTCTGTGACATAATTGTTCTCCTGCAGTTTTATTGACCTCTTTCCGTGGTTGAAAAACACTGATTGATCGATATTATGTATACCTTTCGGTAAGTTGTACTGTATCTTTAATAAAAAGTAACAGATGATGCGCGCTACAGTCACGTCACATTTACAAGCGCCAAAACGGTATTTATTGTCTGAATTTTGTAATAAAATGGACAGAACCTAAGCGCTGATATTTTTTTCATATCAAAAGTAACCTGCTCTGTCTAGTCTGTCGGTGTCAGTGTCCTCTTTGCTCCGTGATTTTTCTCTGCGTGAGAAAATGGATGCGTGGCGTGAGAGCGTTTGAAAAGTGTCAATTGCGTGAGTCTCAAGCTGAATGCGTGAGAGTTGGCAGCCCTGCTTTTAGAAGGGGGATAAATCGTCGGCAGCGTTCCTTCTTCCGCCATGCTTCTTCTCCACGTGAGGATTGTTTACATTAGACTAGAGTGCGCACTGCATGCACACAGTGCTTATGTGGGGATTGTTTACATTAGACTAGAGTGCGCACTGCATGCACACAGTGCTTATGTGGGGATTGTTTACATCAGAGTGCGCACGTGTTTTGCGCAGCATATACGCAGTGTTTTTTTTAAGCGGTTGATGCGTGTTCTAAAAATCTACATTCGGATCATCAGTTATTTTTCACGGTATTTTGAAGTGCCCACGATAACAATATCGTGCATATTCATTACCGCGATTTATCGCATTACCGAAAACCGGCACATGTCTAGTTGACATTGTGAGCTCTTCAGTGTTATTGATATTTTAAGTCATGTTTTTTGTTTTTTATTATTTACAGGGTTCCCACGGGTCCTTGAAATCCTTGAGAGTTTGTGAATCAGAATTTTTTTTTCCATATTATTCCCTCCGGTCCGCTAATGTTATTTCACCAACACTTCGTGGCCTTTGCACTAGGGCTGCAACAAACGATTATTTTGATAATCGATTAATCTAACGATTATTAGAACGATTAATCGACTAATCGTCGATTATTTCGCAGACTAATCAGTAAGTTTGGAACGATTATTCAGCTTTTCCAATTAGTTAAAACATTGAGTTATACATATTCTAACTATAATATAAAAAAAGAAAATCACTTCAGCTTTTGAAATAGTTGTTTTAATGAACTTTGAGCCAACTAAACAGGTCATTCTCTTTAAGTTTTCAGATTTCGGTCCAACTCAAATCACACACAAATGCTCTCTAAGCATTGTTTAATAGGCCCACTGCTTTTCTTAGAACTGAAACAGAAAAAGGGACATTTACTTCAGGACACAAAGAATGGTAAAATATTAATCTGCAAACAATTATTATAATTATAAAATTACAATCTTTTTTTACATGACAATTGAGCTGACAGAGACGTTCTCATTCACCTTTTAATTTATAGTATGATAAAGTGACTGCCATGATATTCTTCCTATATCATAGGAAGGATATAACATCTCGTTTTGTAAGTCTTCATGATTATTGAACAAAATACAGGCAAGTGATAAGACTATAATAATACCTAATATACTAATAGTGTTAAAATAATAAAAACAGCCCTGACTCCTAAGCTCGATCAAGCTTTATTCTATACAAAATAAGTCATCACATTACTGTAATTATATTACTATTGATAATATTATTACTATTATTAGTAGTATTGCATTCTCTAATAAAGAGAGATTTGCCGCTGGTTAGTAGGCTAACTTAAGCTCCAGCTGGAGAACACTCACTTCTCACCGGCTCCTCTTTTGCCGGGATGTTTCCTCTTGCACCCCAACATGCATGTTGTGCTCCCGTGAAAATTGCACACGACAGCATTCTTGATTTGAAGTTTTGTGAAACTTTCCCAAACCTAAACCTTGCTAGTTCGGATTCGTTTGCACTGTCATAATTCGCGCTGTTTTCTCTTCTACCGCAATAGCATTTGTAAGGGCTGCACTACACTCTAGCGCTACAGCGCCGTAGCGGTCAAATCGCGGGATTGCAGGCCCTTACATTAGGTCACGTGAGATCAAACGACTACTCGACAACAAAGATATTTGTCGACAAATTTTTATTGTCGAGAACGTCGACTAATCGTTGCAGCCCTACTTTGCACACAAGATTTACGTTAGCTACGCGCGCGAGGTGCTTTGTGTTGTACGTTGCCATGACGTTCACGCGCGCACAAAACAACTACGATGGATCCTCAACGTTTGGTGTTTCGACACTACAAATGTTCCCACATTAAGTGCTTGAATTTGAGGCTATTGGACCTGGAAAGTTCTTGAAAGGTCCTTGAGTTTGATGTTAACCGAGGTGTGGGAACCCTGTTAAATGCTTGTAGAAGAAAACATTAATGTAAATATATGTATAAGTGATGTTGTGTGTCTGCAGACGATGGCAGAACGAAGCCGGTCCCCAGGAAAGGCCATCCGGAGACGTTTGAACCGGCCGACAACAAATGTCTCATCAGAGCTTCAGAGGGCAAGAAGAAAATCAGCACAGTGGTGAGAGGAGGGTGGCATCACGTGTGTGTGTGTGTGTGTGTGTGTGTGCGTGTGAGAGTGTGTTCTCAAATGCAGAAATTCACAAGAATATTTTTAACACGCTTATTCCTTGAACACTGAGTCCATATGGAGGCCCAAACCTGCAGAAGAATGAACAAATAAAAAATATACATTTAATAATAGAAAAATAAAGGCGTATGTCTTGACAAAACAAACACAATTCATTTAAATCAATTTAGTCCTGAATTCATTTTTGTTACTTAATCACAAAATAATCAATAAATGGGTCAAATTATTTGTTCATTTATGTTAATAAATGACCAAATAAATAATCACAAAATAATAAATAAATGGGTCAAATTATTTATTTGTTCATTTTTGTTACTTAATTTTACCTATTTATTTATTATTTTGTGTATATTATATATTATTTTATTATTATATTATATATTATTTATTATTATTAGATATTATTTTTTAAATATTATTTATTTATTAAATAATTTTACCCAATCACAAAATAATAAATAAATGGGTAAAATGATTTATTTGTTCATTTTTGTTACTTAATTGTACCCATTTATTTATTACTTTGTGATTATTTATTTGTACATTTATTGACAAAAATGAACATAAATAATTTTACCCATTTATTTATTATTTTGTGATTATTTATGTTCATTTATTAACAAAAATGAACAAATAAATAATTTTATCCATTTATTATTTTGTGATTTATTTATTTATTTATTTTTTTAATGTATTTATTTCCATATTTCAATATTGCCACATGTATTCATTTCAACAATTGTTTATTTATTTCTAGTCTTTATTCTCATCGTGTCATTGGTTGAATCAGACTCATAAATATTTCAGTGTATAATACAGCAAAATGTTTTCATTTATTCCGTTATCGTTCTTCTCACTCATGAAGTGAAGATGTTTATTCTTTAACCTCGGTTTTAATGTCTTTCAGGTCAGCACCAAAGAAGTCATAAAGTTTCAAATGGTGGGTCGTATTATATTCACAAAGCTTTATTTCTATCATGTTTTGGTGCTTGAAACATCTATATGTTAAATCAGCTCGATATTGACTTGCATTAAAAAAATAATCAGTACTATTTTCCCTCATATCACACACCAGATATCATTTTTCATATTTTTTTCTTACTAGTGTGTGCCGGACACTATAGTTCATATATGTAAGTGAGGAGATCAAAATAAAGTAAACTGTGACATATAACACCCAATAATTCTTCATACAGTGACTACCAGTAACATCTGGGACAAGATATTATCTGGACACTTTGAGCTGATCATGTTTTGCTGAAGTGTGTTTTCTGTAATTGCTAATGCTCTTTTTACACACACACACACAGACTGAACAACATGAAGCATTGCTTGGTCACTGGTTGAGCTAAACTGGTATTATCTAATTGTGAAGTTAAATTTAACAGCTGACAGATATTCAACATAATTCATGTGTGAGAGTCTAACCGAAGGACGGACAAAACCAGTCAAATATCCACTGCTCATATTTTAAACGATAGTGAATAAACTGTGAAATGTTGAAGCTGTCTGAGTAAGTGTTGGGTTGAGTGTGTTTCTGACGGTAACACTGACTGTTCGTTTGTTTCCCAGGCGTATTCGAACTTGTTGCGAGCGCACATGGACGGCCTGAAGAAGAAAGACAAAAAGAGTAAAAGCAAGAAAACTAAAGCCACATAGTGACGGACAGTGTCGGAGTGAAAGACAGGTGTGTACGATTCATTCAACACTGGCCAGTGCCACTCCGCCTTCCCATCAGCCCCGGCGGACGCCAGTGACATCATCAGGAAGTGACTTCAGCAGTGACATCATCGCGAAGAACCTGCCAACGTTTGACATCTGCTGCTCCAAACCTCGGAAACCACATCTGATTCGTCTTGACGTGATTTAATGACCGTTTTCAGTTCGTTAGGGTGTTAATTGGATGCAGATCATGTTGCTCTAGAATATATTAGTTGATATTTCAAGCCATATTTTGATTTAAACCAGTTTTTTTTTTATGATGAGTGAGTGAACCAACATCACGGTCAGTAACTTTCTCCTCGCGTTCAAATGATAATTTCAGTTCTCCACTGTTTATTTTATTGAATTGAAAGCCCATTTATTGAAAGTCATGTTTTTTTTTAAAACATAATCGCCACTTTTTCTTATTTGAGATGAACGAAACCGCCTTAGATTTGCTAATAAATTATTTCTTTTATTGAGTTTGACATCACTAATCATTGTTTCCATCATCGTGAGGAAATCCCAAAGACTCCAGAATCAGAGACGTGAACATTATGTACTGTACAAAAAAAACAAATGAAGAATTGAAATAAATACACTATGTACACAACTAAGCCACATCACGTAAGGTTTCTGAGCCGATCAGATCATCGTGTTCCTCTTGTCTGGTCTCTCTTTGGTGGACGTCAACATGAGGTTGCGTTTGGTTTTCTCTTCTTCCAGATAACCGTCCTTCATGATCCCGGTGACGAACTGGAACAGAGTCTGAGCGGGAGACAGAAGACTGACTTTACTTACATAATCCCACTGTCTTTATACAGCTGAAACTCGAAAAATTACAATATCATGCAAAAGTTAATTTATTTCAGTAATTCATCTTTTAAAGCTGAAACTAATATATTATATAGACTCATTACATGCAAAGTGAGATATTTCAAGCCTTTATTTGTCATAATTTTGATGATTATGGCTTACAGCTTATGAAAACCCCAAATTCAAAATTAGATTATGAAAAGGTTTTCATATCTGTAAGCCATAATCATCAAAATTATGACAAATAAAGGCTTGAAATATCTCACTTTGCATGTAATGAGTCTATATAATATATTAGTTTCACCTTTTAAGTTGAATCTCTGAAATAAATAAACTTTTAAACTATATTCTAATTTTTCGAGTTTCATATAGATTTATTCTTAAATGGCTCCAGTAGTTCATGATTTAAGTAATATTCCTCGCTAAACACATTTGTCATGGAGAATTTACTATAAGAAATGGTTTCAAATGGAAAAAAATGATGGTGATTATTATTTATGACACGAGTTTAGTGTAAACTTTATCTTTTGAACCTGGAAATTCCTTTAACGCTCTGCTTTTAACTGAAACATGTAATCGGAATGGTATGAAATTTGGTAAAGGTTTTTGTATATGAACACAACATCATGGACGTGATTTGAAAAGGTTAAATGGTCCTGGGGGAAATATAGTCACATTTAATGAGCGCATTGGAAATTAATGGGAGACGAGTTTCCTCTAGTGGAAGCGTTCGGTACTGCAGCCGAACACACTCACTGAACGCTCATTATTTGAGATGTCAAGCTCAAATTTGGAACTAGTTTAAATTTATGGCTTTTTTTCTTGCAGATTTAGAGTAAAACATGTTTTTAAAAAATATATATATTTTGTATAAAATTTTAAACTTGTATTTGTGTAAAATTCTGTAACTTTAAAAAAAAAACTTTATTCACTTCAGCAATAATCTGCCAAGTGTCGTCTTTGAAAAGAGATCAAACTTCAGTCTGTCTCTCAAGATTCACAGTTTAAGTTGGAAATTAAATTTTTAGGTCTATGTTCAAAAAGTGAGTGAATGTATTATAAATACAGAGTAAATATAATTTAATACCATAAAATCCCCTAAAAATACAAAATATTAAATAAACTTTATCAAACTAAATTATAGTACATTCATTTAATTGAAATACAATTTTTTGGGGTAATTTTTAAGCGACACGTGAAGAGCTCCAGAGGGTTAAACATCAATCTACAAATCCAATAATGTTTTGTAGCACTACTGTAGACACTCAGAAGGTTTTCAACTTACACTTATTTGTTATTATTGATTACAAAGGCCTTTTTTAACTCACGAATTGAATTGTCCGGCTGTGTTTTCACTGTTATACGGTTTTCTGAAAGAGTTGCTTTTTTGTGAAACTTACTCACATTCAAGTGTTGACAAAAAAAGAATGCATGAATCTAAAATCAAATGAGTTTTGTGGTTTAAAAGCAGAGGCTCTGTTCTTTCTTTTGATGTATTATTGTATGTTCAGACATTCAGACAAAAAATATACAAATTTAGTTAAAATGATCAAAAATGCTGGGAGGCAACTTTAAAAAAAAAATGCTGGAGGGGAAAGAGTTAAACAGACCTGCAAACTCCTCAGAGTAAAAAAGGTGACAGTGTTGCCGGGGGGGGGGGGGGGGGGGGGGGGGGGGTGTTGGGTGCTTGTACAACATTGTACAATTGGGTGCTTGTACAACTGCACCCTATTGGGTGCTTGTACAACATTGTAGCAACTATCCTAGCAACTGAGCAGCAAAGCTGAGCAGTTGCTAGGATAGTTGCTACAATGTTGTACATGATTGCATACGAGCCAACAACAATGTCTTAACGATGTTGTGGAGCTGCAATATGGCTTCTATATGTAAGCAATATGGTTGCTAGGTAGCTTTAAACGGTTGCTAGGGTGTGGTTACACAGTTACATGTTGTTCTGGATGAACACTATACTGTATAAAATTATCATAGGATTGTCAAAGGAGAAAAAAGGCAGTAAAATATAAATGAACCATGATGAGCAATACATTTGTTACTGTATTTATTATTCTTTGTTAATAAAAATACAGCTGTTCGTTGTAAGTTCATATAACATCACAGTGCATTAGGCTAACTAATGTTAACAAATAGAACTTTTAATTGTAATAAGGCTACTAGTAAATAGTGAAATTAACATTACCAAAGATTAATAAATGCTATTTATTTATAAAGATTAAGAAGTGCAGTTTATGAATAGTTAATATTAACTAGTTTGGTGTTATCGATTTGTTATACACCGATTCAGATCTCTTTTGAAGAGAGATGTTGGACAGATCAGTTATTTTAACCATTCATGAAAGTGAATCGGTTCAAATGAGTCATTAGTTCGCGAATCGGACGTGCCATTAGCTGACACACACGGCACGCGTTGTGTGATTATCCTAGCAGATAAGGACTAAAGGACATCGCACAAGATTTGTGTCTACACAGAAAACATTTAATCACTGGATAGGTTTTTTGTTTATTCAAAATGTGGTTTATGTCAGCCGAATGTGCGGAACGCTTTTCAGAGAGGATAGGGCAATTTTAGTAGGCTACAATTCACACCTAGCGGTAATTCAGGAAAAATAATCTCTGAAAATGCTCCACGTGAAACTTTGGTCTTTTGATCTTTTACTATAGTGTCAATTCTCAATAGATTTTGATTAATATGCGCGATGGAGGGAGAGCAAGGCAGTTTGAATACAGTGAGAGTGCGCGCGCGCGACCGGCTCTCTCTATGCTCGTTCTTTCAGCGCCCTGTCACGAGCGCAGCATAACAAAGCGGTAGCTAACGTTAATTGAATCAAGCAAACAACTAGCTGTTGTTTTTGCTCCAAAAAAAAAAAGTTTGATTTACCTCGAATTTCACATAAGATTCCTTCACGTTATGAGTTTCCATCAGACTCGCGTGGTAGTAGCCAGGTGTCTCATCGATTCTGACGCAAGTGCTAAGATTCCGATTGGCCAAGAGAAAAAGTACTAAGATTCCGATTGGCCCAGAGAAATGTCAATTATAAGAAGTATCCAATAATGTTTCGCAATTCTAGCCTGCCTGTATGCAGATGAAGGGCAGCCTACCCCCCCCCCCCCCCCCCCTAAAAAAAAAACTCTCCGGTTCTACGCGATTCACGTGAATGACCCAATTGACCAAAAAAACGGCGATTATCGCCGAAAAGCGACAAGTTTGCAGGTCTGGTTAAAAAATCACTGTTGGATAAAGTAACCTTTGTTGTTTATAATACTATGCATTACAACAAAACAAACTACATCAAATAAATGTCAGTATATAAACATTTCTCATCACCTACATTGAGAAAATGATTGGAAAGCGCTTGCTATCTTTTAAAAAGGTTTTAAAAATGGGAAAATATATTAAGATTTACCAGTGTAAAGTTTTGAATTTGTTGTATTAGACAAGGAAACCTTGTGAGTAGAACGATAAACAATCAGACAACAGCAATGTCAAGTTATCCTTAAGAATTTTTTTTGAAAACCTATGAGTGTTTTGGTAAGGTCACAAATAATGCAACAAAAAAAACAACAACAACCGGAGAGTGTCTAATAAGGGGAGAACTCCCACTCTCAGTAACGTCCGGCTTCTGGCTGCAGTTCCACTCTGGCTCCACATGAGGGCGCTCACAGGACGAGCGCAGAACGATGGAGGTCTATGGAGCGATACCCCTCAAAATACACTTTTCTCACGATATATTTTTTTGTCTAGTAATTTGAATGTTGTATTTGAAACGGGATGCAAATAAATTACACATTGTTCGGTGTTAGATTTTGGAAATAGGCTCATTTTACAACTCCCCCAGAGTTAAACTGTTGAGTTTTACCGTTTTTGAATCCATTCAGCCGATCTCCGGTTCTGGCGGTACCACTTTTAGCATAGCTTAGCATACATCATTGGAGTGGACAAGACCATTAGCATTTCTAAAAAAAAAAATGACCAAAGTGTTTCGCTATTTTTCCTATTTAAAACTTGACTCTTCTGTAGTGACATCGTGCACTAAGACCGACGGAAAATGTAAAGTTGCGATTTTCTAGGCTGATATGGCTAGGAACTAGTGTTGTCAAAAATATCGATATTTCGATAAATATCGATACTGAAATATCTGAACGGTACCAATACTAATTTCCCAAAGTATCGATACTAGCCGAGCAGTCACTTTCACTTCTCTCAAAAGGCGCGTTGACAAACACCACACGTGACGCACTTGTCTCATTCGCTCTGGTTAAATAGCAAAAGTGAAGTGAATGGAAAGATTGCGAGGGCCGCGCCCCCGCGACCGGCTTTGGTTGATTGATAAAGAACACCGCGAGCGGGCATGTCGGAGAATAGCGCGGACACGCGTAAAAAACACACCGCGAGCGGGCATGTCGGAGTCGGAGAATAGCGTGGACACGAGCTACACACCGCGAGCGGGCATGTCGGAGAATAGCGCGGACACGCGAGCGGGCATGTCGGAGTCGGAGAATAGCGCGGACACGCGTAAAAAACACACCGCGAGCGGGCATGTCGGAGTCGGAGAATAGCGTGGACACGAGCTACACACCGCGAGCGGGCATGTCGGAGAATAGCGCGGACACGCGAGCGGGCATGTCGGAGTCGGAGAATAGCGCGGACACGCGTAAAAAACACACCGCGAGCGGGCATGTCGGAGTCGGAGAATAGCGCGGACACGAGCTACACACCGCGAGCGGGCATGTCGGAGTCGGAGAAT